GTCCCCAAAAGGACGACGCGCAGTCCGTGCGTGCGGCTGCGTCTCCTCGGCCGCTGTCGCTGGCCGCTGGTGCACCTTCGTCGGCTACTGCCTCCGCCGAGAGGCTGCACTCGTCCGCCTCGAGGCAGGCGGAGGCGGCGGTAGCAGCGGCGGCGGCGGCAGCGGCGGCGGCGGCGGCGGCGGCGGCGGCGGCGGCAGCGGCGGCGGCGGCAGCAGCGGTAGCGGCGGCGGCGGCGGCGGTGGCGGCGGTAGCAGCGGTAGCAGCGGCGGCGCCGGCGGCGCCGGCGCGCGGTGGGGAGGTGCGCTCGTGGTGCTGCGGCCCGAGCTGCTCCGTGCTTCAGACGACGAGCTACCGGCGACGCACGCGGCGATGCTCCGCGCCCTCGCGCGCCGGACTTGTCCGAGACATGTCCGCGACACGTCCGCTGGCCTCGTCCACAGGCGATGTTGCGCGCTCTGTGCGCTGTTGCGAAGCGAACGACGCTGCAGCAGGGGCCGCCCTCCGCAAGCCGCCGCTGCCGCCTCCAAAGATGCCTCCGCCGAACGCCGAACGCCACCCGCGAGACCCCCCCCCCCCCCTCTTCCAGACCACCGCAGACCACCGCCGCACTCTCGGCCTCGTCACCAACCTCCCCTCACCCCCCCCGCTACCACCCCCACCCACCCACACGCAGGCGCTCGCGACCGTGCGCGCCGCCCACACCCTCTGCGGATCACAAGCCCTCGCGGCGGCGGAGGCGGTGCACGCGTCGCTGGCCGCGGCGGAGCTGCGCGAGCTCGCCTCCTCGGACGCCACCGACGTCGACGACGTCACCGACGACGCCGACGACGCCACCGAAGACGACGACCGCGGGAGCACCGACGACCGCGGGGGCAGGCCGGCGGCGGCGGCGCTCGCTATGCGCAAGGCCGGGCCCCCTCGGGTCCCGCCGTTAGCCGGGTTGGGCGGGGCGATGGTCGAGGCGGAGGAGGCGCTGCTGGCGCCGTCGCCACTGCCCAGGCGGCCTGGCGACGCGCAGGAGGAGCACGAACCGCCGTGGCCCTCTCCCCTCTCACGGTGCTCCTCTGCGGGCGCTGGCTAGTGAGGTCTGAGTGTGGTGAGAGCAAGCGCAGCGAACAGGCCCGCCAGTTGTCTCTTGTTCCCCTGCGTTAGTAAGGAAGAGAGGAAAGAGACAACCCAATCACACTTGGAGCACTTGGAGTGCAGTCAGTAACCTCACATCCAGGGGTCACGCGATATCTCTCTTTTTGAGACGCTGTGCACTGAGAGCCCGACGCACACAGCGCGCAGTGCGAGAGCTCTGAGGAAGATCGCAATGGAAAAAATAAAGCCCAAGCGTTTAAAGGACGAGGAGCCGGCCGAAGAGCAGACGGATGCGGAGCAAGGCTCAGCGGCAGCCCTCCCACCCACGCCACTGCCTAGCCCAGTCGCCGACGGACCGACGAGCGCGTGGGACCGGGTGCGGCCGAACCTCCCGGGTGCGGTGGTCTCCAAACGGTCTGGCACTCTAACCCCGCCGCGGGTCACACGCGGGAGCTCGAGCGGCTCTCTGTACTCCCCACGAATCAAGCGCAACGGCTCCTTCCGCTCCCTCACGAGCCTCCGTGAAAACACCGCCGCGTGGTCCGCGCAACTGCATGGGATCGTCAACAGTATCGACGCCGTTTGGATGCAGTCCCAGCAGCGGCGAGGCGCAAAGTGGGTCTCCGCCGATTCCGAGGCGCGGACCGCAGCTAGCTCTCGCGACGAGTGCGACCATCAAACCCGACACATGCGCGATATTCTGCAGCAGTGAGTGGACTGCTTCCCTGCAGTCGTAGCCCCTTGTGCTCACGCGGCGGTTCACCCTTCACACGAGCCCGGATTCAGCGCCCTCTCTCCGCCCCCCAGGCGCGGGCGCTCTCGTCCCGTCGCGGTCCATATGCGTGGCAGACGAAGCTACTTGCCTTTCTCCACAGCCCGCGCCTGCAGGCCGGCTGCCTCTTCCTCCCGCCCGCCCGCCCCCTACTGCTCCCGACGCAGCTCTACACACGCGGAGGGTCGGCTCACCCCCATGAGCTGTCGATGACCCTTCTGACCCGGATCCTTCCCGGACTCGACCCCGACCCTTCCCTGCCCTTTCCCTGCCCTTTCCCTGCCCTTTCCCGGACCCTTCCCGGACCCTTCCCGGAGCGACCCTTCCCTTCCCCACAGGCGCTGTTGACACTGCTGCTCGTCTGCGACGTGATCGCCGTCTTTGGCGAGCTCTTTATCGACGCCGAGTTCCCCTCGTGCATGTACGTCCTCCGCGACGCGATTCCCTGCTGCGACAGCGGCTGCATCGGCGCCGGAGACTACAGCGCCGCCGCCGCCGCCGACGCCATTCAGTGCCTCCTCCTCGGCGGCCGCAAGGAATGAATGGACTGAATCATTGAAGGTTGCCCACTGCTACTAGGACCATCCTCTCGCTCGGCAAGAGCGTGCAGGCCCGTCCGCTACTACCTCTACTCCACTGCGCCACTCTCTCTCTCTCTCTCTCTCTCTCTCTCTCTCTCTCTCTCTCTCTCTCTCTCACCTAGTCACCTTCATTGCCATGCCATCCATCATTCCACGAATCTTCTCTGTCATCCCTCATTCTCATTCTCGCCGTGATGACAGGGCGACCTGCACCTCGAGCACGACGAGACGAGGGCCGAGAGCCGCGCCGCGGAAGGCAGAGCAACGTCAGTCAACTCACTGAGTACTCATGATTCATCAGGCGGAGATCTGCGCCGGGCAAGGCGACAGCCACACACCAGAGCTCCAAAAGATCGACACGCCCTTTAGAGCTCAAGGTCTGCTCTCTGCTGAACCACTTTAGGCCACAGCCACCTTGACTCGACCGGCAGGATCGGGTGCGACAGCCACAAGCACGATTTGGCCCACAAGTTCCACAAGTTCCTCTTCCGAGTCTCGCTGACGGTGTGCCAGGGTTGTGCTCGAGAGCGGCTGCCTCGCCTACTTGATAACGCACTCTATCAACTGTTTGATGAAGGTGCTCGTCGTGTTTGAGCTCGAGCTGCTCGGCCTGATCGCCAGCCTCGACCGAGCCTTCTTCCGGCAACCTGCTCCTGCGTGTGTTCGACCCAACCCATTCCATCATTGCTCATTGATTGGGTGGTTCATACTTGCGCAGGAACCCGCTCTACGTGCTCGACCTCATCGTCATCACCGTCTCGCTCGGCCTCGAGACCGTCTTCAGAGTCTTCTCCATGCCCGAGCAGGACCGAGATCACCCGAGATCACCCGAGATCACCCGAGATCACCCGAGATCACCCGAGATCACCCGAGACCATCTCCGCGTCTTCTCCACGCGCACACCGGAACCGGACCTTGCACTTGAAACGCCGCGTGGGGCTCCTGTCTCTCCTGGACGTGAAGACGAGGGTTGCCACCCCTTAGCCTTGCCCCACTACAATGCGCGTGTGGAGCCGTCCACCTCACAGGATCAGCTGACTCACAGCTGACCCTGCTGTCCCCTCCTCCGCTAGGACCTCGCCATGGCACTGATCATCGTCCGCCTCTGGCGCTTTGTCCGCATTGGCCACGGCATCTTTGCGTCGACGCACTCGGTCCGAGATCACCCGAGATCACCCGAGATCACCCGAGATCACCCGAGATCACCCGAGATCACCCCGACACTGTCCACGGCCTCCTCGCGCCGACGCACTCAATCCAAGAGAGAGCAAGATGGCCTGAAGGTGGCCTGAAGAAGGCCCGAGGTTGCCCGGGAGCAGGTCGCCAAGGAGAAGAGCGACAAGCTGCACGCGGAGATCCGCGCCCTCGAAGAGGAGTACACCCGCGCGCTCAACCAGGCGGCCTCCCTCGCCACGACGACTCGCCCCACGAGGCTACGCCCCGGCGCGGGTGGGCGTGGAGAGCGGTCCGATCGTTGGAATGAAGGCTGCCGGCTGACTGTCCTCCCTAGGCTGGCTTCGGCGCCGTCGAGCACGAGCGGGTCCCCCTCGGTGACTCGTCCGCCGCCGTTCCGCGGGCGTTCGGCGAGTGAGGCGAGCGCGGCGACGCACGACTTGCAGGGCGCGGGTGGCGAGAAGCTGGCCGATGGCGTAGCCGCGGCCCTCTCGCAGCGCAGCAACACGCCGACCAGCCCGGTCGGCGCTCCAGCCATGCGCCGCCCGCCCGCCGCCGCTCCGTTGGGCGCCGCGCACAGGGCGCTGCAGCTCGGCCCGAGTAGCAGCGCAGCGCGCACGGGGATGCCAGGGGTAGGGACGGGGATGGGGGCGGGGGAGGCGGCGGCGGCGGAGCGGCAAGCACCGCCGGCAGCGGAACCGGAACCGGCGGAAGGGGCTGCCGCGGCGGAGAGCGTCGAGTTGGAGCTCGACGCTCTCGACATGTCGACATAAGCGCACGCGCCGGGACGCACGCCGGGACGCACGGCGGGAGCGACGTGTCGTGGGTGCGTTGGGGTGCGTGGCCGTGGGCGTGGCCGAGCGTGGGGCCCTGGCCGCGTGCGCGCGGTGGAGCTCTTTTCGTTTTTTTCGGCGGTCACCGGGGTTTATACTTTATTTTTCGCGCCGAGATCCGCACACATGCACACACGCTCACACTAATGTTACACATACAGCGCAAGACCCGGCTTTTTCTTGTTTTATTATACGCACGTGCATCTAAGTCTTGTGGTGTGTGGCTTTCACGTCCCTCGAGCTTCGCCAAAGCTCCCACTCCTCGTCCGTGTAAAGCCGTATGCGGCGCCCGAGGCGGCGCGCTCGCGGAGCTTCGCGAAGCGCCGCATCTCCGGGTGAAGCGTCCTCCAGCGTCGATCCTGTCGCCGGCGAGCTCCTCGATGCAAACTGCCCCCACCACGATGGCCACGTACTGGGCTGGGTTTTTAGGCATTGTGGGGTTGGCACTCCCATCGACCCTCATGACCTCCTGCGGTCTCTGAGATGGACACCAGTGGGTGTGGGACCACAGCCAGGATACACTCGAAGGCTGGGTAAGCAGTAGAGGTCGATACTCGACGCGTCCCACATGGTCTGTGTCGCTGTCGGCACGCTGTCGACAGGACGTCGAGCGACACCGGTGGCAGTGCCACCCAGGAGTGGTCGGGCGGTCTCCCGTCATGAGAGAGTCACCATGTGATCCGTATGATGATTCCTGACAACCGCCTCAGTCAACTTTCGTCACAGTTCCCGCTCTGAGAGGAGCTGCGGGTCAGTTTGACAGCTGGAGCTGTGTCGCCGGCGTGCGGCGGCCTGCCTCCGGAGGTGCCTCTGAGGTGGACATTTTTTGGTCACCGTGAGAGAACGCGTTCGAATTTTTACTCCGGAACTTCAACTCCACACGCGCACCGGCCAGGGCTACAATAGTGCCAGTGAGGCGAAGGCGCGAGTCGGAAGGCCGCGACCGGGATTTGGTCCCGACACTTTCCTACAATCGCTGTGAACCCAGCCACGTAGACCTTGGTCACTCGGCGCTCTCGGAACAGCGTGGACAGCCCCGCGAGAGCGCGGCGAGTCTTGGCAACGGCAATCACGCCGCCCACCCTCGCGTCGAGCCGGTGCGCAGGCGAGGGCGCGGGGAGCGGTGCTAGCGAGGCCCGTTGGGAGGGCGCCGTGAGCAGCAACGGGAGAGCGTCGCACAGAGTGACGCGCCCCACTTCTTCCGGGTGCCCGCCCATCCCGTACTGTGCACGCCGGGAGGCTTGAAGACCACCGCCAGCTCGTCATCCTCGTGAAGAACCTCAAAGCGCCCACCTCTCCCGCTTCGCCTCGGTCAGTTCTTCAAAGAACCTCTCGACGCGCCGCACCTCTGGCGTCGATAGTGGCGCGGGCAACGGGTTGTTTCGAGGGTTGTTCAGCGTGAGGACATCTCCAGAGTGGACTCGGGCGGCTCCATGCGCCGTCCGTCCGTTGAGCAAGAACTCACCCCGTTGCGCCGCATTGTTCGCCTGCGTCCGGCTGGTGAGTGCCGGGAAGACGGTCCCGTCCGCACAGAAACGTGACAGAGGCGTGCTCTCGGCGACTGACGCGCCCGTGCCGCCAAGTTCCGCGGACGGGCCCCTCCACCCTTCATGTAGTCCCCACCGACGTTCGTGCGATCATTCGTCTGCGACGTCTTTTCTTCTTTTTTCGAGAGAGATTTTTCAATGCCAATAGCAATACCAAGCAACTCTAACACTCACACATAATTGTCTTTTTTAGTGGACGGGGGCGCAGTACTACGACGCGAAGTGCAAGTGGGTCGAGAAAGCCATAAGGCGGCTGGTGCTCGTGGACACTTTGGGTGGCATTGCGCCACACCCACCAAGCAGTTCCTCCACGTGTTCGCCAAGGAAGCGGTGGGCACCAACACGGACCGGACGGACGGTGTATGGGGCGGCGTCGGCGAACGCCTCCTCCTTTGTCGTCCACCACACGGACACGCAGCAGATCTTTATGGCGGCGGTGGCGGGCGACGCCGACAAACATCAACAAGCAGGCGCGCAAGATGCGTACCAACGGGGTCTACTGCTCAACTCCCCTGAGCGTGCCAATTAAACGGCCAGCAAACGGCTTGGCCACAGTGGGGGGTGCCCGGATTAGTCCCCACAGACGCTGTCGTGGGATCGCTTGTCATGTTAGGTTTCGTTAGGAGAGAGTGAGAGATTTTTGAAAACAATCTTTCTTTCTCAAGGTTAGTTAGGTGAAGAACAGTCTGGCTCGGACTGGACACCAGGACACCAGCGCGGTCTGGGTGGACGCGGGACAGAAGACGACGACACGCGCCGACACACAGACAATAAAACTCAAAGAAAGAAAGAAAGAAAAGAGACACGCCCAAGGGAGGGATGGGAGGACGGCACGCCGCCACCACACAGGTAGGTAGGTAGGTAGAAAGGTGAAGAACAGCCAGGCTCGGACTGGACACCAACGCGGTATGGGTGGACGCGAGACAGATGATGACGACACGCACGAGCGACACACAGACACAAACAAGCTCACAAGACACACAGCCAGCTGGCTGCCACACACCCTGAGTTGGCGTGGTACACATAACTCAGGGCCACATTCTTCCTGTCGCCCCCCCCCAGCACTCCACACAGGGATTTTAAGGAGAGGAGTAAAACTCAAAGAAAGGCGGAAAACTCGTTGCGCAGCTGTGAGCGCTTCAGAGCGGTGTTTCGACACCGATATCGTTCAAGGAGAACACTGTTCAAAATCCGCTGTTCACACTTCACAGGTAAGTGTAAGCGGAGCAGCTTAGTAGATACAGCGAATCCTTTGTGTTCACACCTGCAAGAGCAGGTGTGAACCGATTTCGGCCTTAGCCGTCGGTATGCCAATAGCGTGCTAGCCAAGTAGTACGCAGTTGGATTCCGAGGGTGTCCCATCACAAGTTTGGCTGCCGACAGACAAGATTGTCCCTTAGTCGACAGCACCCCCGCCGTTGGACGGTGCTCTGATTCTTTTTCGCACAACACTGGGCACGGGACTGGCGCGCACCAGCTCCAGTGGTGTACCTGTGTTAGTGCCAGTGCGCGCCAGTCCCGTAAAGAAAGAAAGAAAACAGACAAGCAAAGGGAGGGATGGGAGGACGGCACGCCGCCACCACACAGGGATTTTAAGGAGAGGGGTGTGATGCGCTAGCCGTCGCCCACCCTAGGGAGTCTGCCTCTTCCTATCTCTTTTCGCAGTCTCCCGCCGCTTCTCGCTGCAACCTTCATGCCACCTCGCGGCCGTCCCACTCTCGTCGTTCTCTCCCTTGTCACTTCCTCCTCTCTCCCGTCATTCTCTTCTCGCCAGTCCCGTAAAGAAAGAAAGAAAACAGACACGCCAAACGAGGGATGGGACGAGGACAGGGTCCCCACTCGCAGCGCGGTGCGCGGTGGACTCCCACATCCACTGGCGGTCTCATCTCAGTCTAGCGACCTGCCTCCAGCTTGTCGCTGGCAGTCTCTCCTACCACAGGCACACTGACACAGGGGTGGCAGGGGCGGCGGCACGAGTCTCCCACACACTATGCGGGCCTCACTAGAGGTGCGGCCTGTGCGTGTCCTCGCCCTTGAGGGGGGAGGGGAAGGGGCTGTGTGTCTGTGCATGTGTTGTGTTGTGTGTGTGTGTGTGTGTGTGTGTGTGTGTGTGTGTGTGTGTGTGTGTGTGTGTGTGTGTGTGTGTGTGTGTGTGTGTGCGTGTGCGTGTGCGTGTGCGTGTGCGAGCCGCCCTGAACGCCACGAGCGCGCCGCGAGCGCCGTAGCGCCGGCGAGCGCCGTCGGCAGCGCGCGACCGCCAGTCCCGTGCCGAGTATTCCTCCTAAGATTCTTTTTCGAGGTTGAGGCTCGGCTGCGACCGACGCACAAGTTACAATTGTACACAATGGCCGCTGCGCTGCCGCTCCTCGCCACGTGCTCCCTCCTCGTCGACCCCTCGATAGGCCGCCGCGCCGCGCTCGCGACCGTCCCTGCCGGCATCGCCGCGCTGGGCGGGACGCGCGAGGCCAGAGCGCTCTCTCCCTGCCCGCCCGGCGCAAACAACTGCCTCTCCACCGCCGCGCCCTCGCCCGTTGGGAAGCTCGCGACGTGGAAGTTTCCCAAGGGCATGGACAAGGCTGCCGCCATCGACTCGCTCGAGAAGGTTCTCGACTCGTACCCGCAGGCCTCTGCTGCCCGTGTCGCCTCTCCCCGGAGCCCTTCCCGAGCCCGTCCGAGCCGTCCCTACAGGCGGGCCAGGCTGACGTGGACAAGGGTGGCTGGAGCCGCGTCGACGACAAGCTCGCCTCCGCCGGCTACGCGCGGCTCGAGTTCCGCTCTGGCCTCGGCAACATGGCGCGCTTCTTCAACGGCGGAAAACCGTTCGTGGATGACCTGGAGCTGTCGGTGGAGGACGGGTTCGCGTGCATCCGCTCCTCCTCGCGTGTGGGCGACTCGGACCTCGGCGTCAACAAGAAGCGGGTCAACTTCATCGCCGCGGCGCTGCGGTCAAGCGGGTGGGACGCGCCCGACGTGCAGTGAAGGCTGAGAGAGACGCTCTAATAATCCATGACCATGTTCCGCTTGGCACGCCCTCGCGCCCTGCTGTGCGCCGGCACGGGCCACGCGCCCCGCGCTGCTGCGTTAGGTATGCAGTTAGCGAAAACAAGAGACACAGGTCACAGCCGCTCCTCAGTCCTCACACCCCATCACCAAAATCAAGAATTCAAGATGCATCGCGCATTGGTCCCAGCGCAGGCGCTGCCGCAGGGCTGGAGGATGCTCGGCTCGCGTTGACCGCTGTGCTTGCCGCGTGGGGCCCTCGGCCGTCGTGAGGAACACTTGGAATTCACAGCACAAGCTTTGCCTGCAGCGAAAAACAACGCCCGCCGGTGAAAAAGTGAGGCGTCGTCTGTACTCGCCAGGGGTATCGCAGCGCCAGCCAGCGTCCCCACACGAGTGGAAGGGCCGAAGATGTCGTTCGACATCCCGCTCTCCGCGTACGGAAGACGCGTCGGGCCGTCGCGCTTCTCCGCTGGCCCGCTGCAGGAGGTTATGAAGCAGGAGGGCGCGCACGTCATGGCCCAGGGCGTGCCGCCGGTGACAGCCTTGCCCATCGCTAGCCTTTCGGCGACGCTCGCCGACGGCAGCACTGTCGAGCTCGATGCCGTTGAGACCCGCAACGCACAGCGCTACGCGCCATTCGCGTGGGCTCCGCTCCGCTCGTGGCTGCTGGAGCACGTGCGAGAGCAGCACAGCCCGCCGAGTGAGCACTGGGACGTGAGCATAACCGCTGGCTCAATGCTCGGGATCGACGCGGTCTTGCGCCTGCTGCTCGACCCGGGCGACGCCGTCCTGTGCGAGGAATTCACCTTCCTCGCGTCCAAGGACAACCTCCTCGCGGCGGGCGCCACCCTCCTCCCGCTGGCGATGGACGAGGACGGCCTCCTGCCGAGCGCAGTCGAGGAGGAGTGCGAGGCGCGGCTGGCGGCGGGGCTGCCGCTGCCAAAGCTGCTCTACACGATCCCCGTCGGCCAGAACCCAACCGGCTCGCGGCTGCGGCCGGACCGGTATGCCGCCGTCTACTCCGCCGCGCGCAGGTACGGGCTCGTCATTGTCGAGGACGATGCTTACTACTACATGCAACACAGGGCGGCGCGGCCCGACATGCCCCTGCCCGGGCTGAGTGGGCTCGGGCCCAGCTTCCTCTCTCTGGACGAGGACGGGCGCGTCGTGCGCCTCGACACCTTCTCGAAGCTCCTCGCGCCCGGCTTCCGGCTCGCGTGGGTGACTGCGCCGTCTCCCTTCGTTGCAAAGGCGAGAGGAGCCGAGAGGAGGAGAGGAGCCGAGAGGAGCCCGAGGTGAGCCGAGAGGAGCCCGGGGTGAGCCGAGATTGGCCGAGCTTGGCCAATCTCGCCGCAAAGGTGGACGGGCTGCAGTACATGTCGTCGCAGTGGGGCAGCACGCTCTCGATGCTGCTGCTCGCAAAGATGCTCGCGGCGCCCGGCTGGCTGCTCGGCCACGTCACGGCGCTGCAGGCGGCGATGCGGACGCGCTGCCTGGCCCTCCTCGCGGCCGCCGAGGAGCACCTCGGGGGCGTCGCCACCTGGAGCGTGCCGCAGGCGGGGATGTTCCTATGGCTGACCCTGGCGGCGGACTACGAGCCGGGGCCGCTGCTCGAGGCGTTGAGGCGGCACGGGGTCGCGGTGATTCCGGGCGAGAGCTGCGCCGCCGCGCCGCCACCGGCGGGCCGCCGCCACTTGAGGCTCACATATGTCATCGACCCCGACCAGTACAATGAGGGCGTTAGGAAGGTGGCGCGCGTTCTCGGTTCTGCGCGCGTGAACATCTGACTCGCTTTTATTCGCGATGTCGAGTATACGCAAATAAGATTCGTGTGAGCTGTGACGGCTGAGAAGGCCGTTGATACATAAAAACACGGTGCCGGCGCGGCACACGCGGCGCGAGCCGCGCGACCGGAGATGGGTGAAACGACATGGTGGTGGCGCGATTTCTTCTTTCATATTTTTAGTTCAGGGCACAGTCGATCCTCTCGTTTGCACCTGCCGATCGCATTCGCAATGGCCTGGCGCGTCGCAGGGCGTGATATCCCGCTTGCCTTGAGTAGCTCAAGGAATTTCACACGCCCTGAGCTCTCAACAGCCTTCACCAGCGCTGGTAGCGAGCTGGTTGTGGCGCAGCTCTGCAACACATCCATCACCGCCGTGTCCACGCCGGCCTCGGCGAGCAGATCCTGCAACGTTCGCACGTTGGGTGGCCTCTCCTCCTCCGGGCAGGGCTGTGGGCCGTGCAGAAGCATTTTGATAGCTCGGTCTGCCAGCTCGCGGGTCAACCCACTCGCAAAGGCTGTCTGGACGAAGCGGCCCCGCAGTGCCTCGCCGCCGTCTTCTGATACCAGGTCACGGTCGTCGATCGCCACCCAATTCGTGCTGCCATGAAGGCCTCCCAATCCGTGCTCCGACAGCCAGCTGAGGATCTCCTTCGGGCGGACGCGCGAAACGCGGTCCATGGAGCCGCTGAGCTGCGGTGTCGCGCCAATGCAGTCGACTCTTCTCTCGTGCAGACATCGTTTGATGCGGCTACTGAGTGACGTGTCACGCCGCCAGTCGGTGGACAGCACAACTGCGGCACGTGTGGACTCGGCGATTCTTTGCAGCTCTGCACACGGCGCGGCCTCCAGCCTTGTCTCGTGTTTGCAGCAGAGCACGCCATCCACGTCCAGGAATACGATCGGCCGGGTCTTCGTACTGCTGCCACTGTCTCCGCTGCTGCCGGTGCCGGTGTCGGCCATATATCAACGTGCTGGAATTCCTCTTTGCATCGTGAAATGTGAGCAGGGTTCCGGCTGTTCGGGGGTAGGGTAGGGTGCGCCGGATCGCGGTCTGCTACCCCTCATTTGGGCATGTAACGGACGTCTCTTGTGGGCGGCCACCCCCCAACCCCCTACCCCCCTACAATCCGGGGGGTGTACTCTACCCACCCCAAAAAAACAGCCGGAACCCAGGCGCCAGGGGTCCGAGAGTGTCACTTGCTCGTCAATAAAACAAACGCTTGCGAAGAGGCAAGAAGGTGGCACAAAACTACTGACCACCCTACAGTACAAGCCCGCCTCAACCCACTTTACCCATGTGCATACTATTATACTACTACTCTATGCACTTATAGTATCTGCCTACATTCTCTCTCTACGAATACGATGACCACGTGTGCCCCCCAAGGCACCGCTCTCCCCTCTCAGGACTCAGCTCTCACCGTCTCGGTACTTGTCTCGGGCTCAAGTCCTTTCTCATTTGCAGCACGCCAATCGCACCGAAGCGAAAATTGATCGACGGCGACACCGGGAGCTCCGCACTGGGCTCGGCGGAAGCCTCCGACGATGTCAGGTCGCCAGACGGCGGCAGTGCGGCCCCAGCCGCCGGCTGCTGCTGCGTGTCACCCTTTGAGCCACAGCGGGGCGAAGGGGGGCGCGAGTCGGCAGAGTATAGGCGGCCTCGGATGGCCTCTCGTTGCGCGCGTGGAAGGTAGAGCGGAAGCAAACGCTTGTTCGAGTGCGTGCAGTGCAGCTGAGCCCGCGCTCCGAAGAAGCCCCGTGCGACCAACTCCGCGCAGCAGAGCGCCGTGAAAAGGAGAAAGGCGACGGCACCGCCGGCAGCGATGGCCACTATCGTCGAGCTGCTGCGGCCCGAGGTTGAGCGGGGGCATGAGACAACCTCGACACGCTCGCCCGCAACCATCAGTAGGGCCGTGCCAGGCTGCACGTAGCCCGCCTGCCACGAAGCGGAGGGGGGAGCGTGAGCGCTGCCGCAGGGACATCCAGCATAGGGCAGGCGACGTCGGTGGCGTGTGCTTGAGGAAGGCGAGGCATAACTCTCGCACCTGTGTCTCCAGCAGAGGCGTCTGGCCATGCTCGGCAAGAAGACACGCGAGGGCAAGTGCGCTCTCGTGAGGCTCGCCCGAATGTGTCGCGGCATAAAAGTCAAAGCTGACGATGAGCGGAGGAGGACCAACCCAAGGTTGAATCTCGGAGACAGAGCCGCCTCGGGAGAGAAGATCGAGCTCGGCCTCTCCCGCCGCCGCAGAGCCCCGCGTCCAAAACCTTGCCACCGTCCTGGCCTCCTCGGCCGACGCGTGCACAGTTTTGACTGTGACGACCGAGGAGACAGCGACGTCTGCCCAGACTTGCAAGGGGTAGACGCTGGCGGCGTTGAGCACGCGTGGCAGGTCCCTGGCCAAGAGGCCTCTCACTCGAATCGGGTACGCTCTCTGGGATTCGTTCAGATCTTCCCCCTCTGCGCTGAACTGCACCTCGACAGACGAGGCACTTGCTTGCTCCGTTTGCACAACGGAGACTTCAACGCCGTGGCGAGTGAGCGGCAGCAAACGGCGCACCGCAGCCTCAAATTCTACCGAAAAAGAGCCCTCGCTAAGGGCTGCCTGCATAGGATGGAACGTGAAGGGAAGAACAAGCCTCACCTTCTCGTCCAGAGGGGGTGGCGGCGGCGGCGGCGAGGGCATCGGCTCGGAAGGTGGCAAGGAGGGTGTCGGTGGAGGTGATGACGGGGGTGGCGAGGGCGGCGGCGGTGGCACTGGCGGCGGTAGTGGCACTGGCGGTGGTGGCGGCGCCTGCGCTGGCGTCTGCGGGGGCGTCAGTGGCGGGGGCGGCGGGGGCGATGGCGATGGTGGCGGCGGCAGTGGCAGCGGCGGCGGCGGCGGCGGTGTTGACGGCGGCGGCATCAGCGGTGGGGGAGTATGTGGTAGCAAGTGCGGTCGCTGAGGCAGCGGCGTAGACGGTGGCGAGCTGGGAGAAGGCATTGGTGCTGGCCGTGACGGCGGCATTGCGGGCGGCAACTGGGGCGGCCCTACACACTCGGGCGGCAGACTCCCCGTGCCTGCAAAGAGAAAGTTCCGGCCGTACGCAGACGCGTCAAAGTTTCGGCCAACCTCATATGTCACCTCGAAGCTGCTGATTCCAGCAGGGTATTGGAGGCACACAAATTTGGGCATCGTGTAGCGGTAGGGCTGCCCCGACTTCCTCGAGCCATCGGGGTAGACGCCGGCGCCTGGGATCTCGGCGCCTTCGTCGGTGCAAATGACCTCGTCCAAGACTCTGCCAGGGGGCCGCGGGTAGCCCGAGATTCCGTCGCCGGGCATTCGGCCGTGCGCCAACCCGGGACACTTGTCGTAGTCGCCGCACGTCCCGCTGGCGCCCCCCGGAATATTCATTAGCGCCTCCGGAAAGTCGCTCGGATTGTCGGGCCCACGCCCCTCGGCCAGCGCTTCGACGCGGATGCAGCCCGCATCCTCCTCGATTCGCATGTAGGGCGAGGTGTCAATGTCTGGGCAGAGGAAGTCCTTGATTGAAGATGCCTCGGGAAGCTTACCATGCATGAAGTAGCCCGATGTGCCGCACGCGACCATGCTCTCCCTCATGTTTGCGAGCTCCCCGAGGTGCGGGCCGGTGTCAAAGTCAAAGAAGCAAAAGTCGAAGGGGTGGTCTACGACGAAGGGCGCGTTGGTGCCCGGCTGGACGAACTCGAACCCAAAGGTGGTCTGCGTGCCCTGCAGGAGGCTGATAGAGGCGAAGTTCCCGCCATTCATCGTCCTGCCATTGTGCGCTGAAGACCAGGGAGTGTAGGAAGTGAGGTTGCTCACGACGAGGTCCAGGCCCGCCGCCACCGTGCTGACGCCGTCATACACCCTGCCGACACCGTTGTACCGCAGCACCGGAAGCGTGCCTTCCGCGGAGTCCGAGCAGCCGCACCCGCACCCGCACGAGCAGTCGGTCGCCGACCCAAGCGCTGGCGGCTGGCAGAGGACGCCGCTGCCTCCTGGATACCCGCCGAGGTTGTTGATCGCCTCGGTGCCGAGCGCAAAGTCGAGGTGCAAGCCGCGGGGATGCCAGCCGGCCACGCAGTCCCATGCCATGGGGCGGAACACGTTGACACAAACACACAAAACAGGACGCTAGGCGCACAAGCACAGACAGTCGAGAAACAGCAACGACAGTCAGAAGTCAGCACAAGACCCAGGAGGCGAATGCGATGACGGCCGTTGACGGCGGAGTTCGTTACCTCGGAAAGTAAAGAAAGAGTCGTTTTAAATAAACAAAACGGACATCGCAAGCTAGGGCTGGGTCGAGGACAGACACGTCCCCACCTTTGCAGGATTTTGCAAAAGCGAGGGGGGTGGGCGCATCGCCGCGCGGAGAGGGCTGGGCACAGGGCACAGGGGATCCTCTCTCGCATAGGATATGCACTCGCTCGGCGGCACCAGGGCAGGGCTGGGCGTCCTATTTGTGCTCCCCCCCGGACCCCTCGCTCTCTGGCACTAACCATCTGACCACTCATCTGCGGGGCTTGGCGAGCGGCCGCGCTGCGGGGCAGGGCTACAACTGTAGTGAGTGAGTGAGAATGGGCTCTGGCCACTCGCCCGTGCGGGTGGGTGTAACCGCGCATCAGTCGCACGGAGGCCTCGACCGCCCCTCGCGGCAAGCTCTCGAGCATCTCGAGCAGCTCGCCCGCCGCCATCGCCGCCTCGAACTGCTCCCTCAAAGAGTTCCTTCTGTGTTGTGCCAGGCGGGGAAATTTCTTACTCGTAGAAGCTTGGAGGGAGTTTCACAGGAACGGCATACGCGTGTACATGCTCTCGCTATTCGCGGCCGCCGCCGCCTCGTTCACCGTGCCGTCCGCCACCGCGCCGCCCAACGCGTTCAACCTTCTGCGCGGCATCGACGTGCTGCGGGCCACCGACGGCGTGGCGGTCCCGCTCACCGAGCAGTGGGCCACGGACGAGCGTGCGGTGCTGGTGCTGATGCGATCGTTTGGTTGAATGTTCTGCCAGGAGCTGGGCGCACAGCTTGCACGTGATGTGCTGCCTGTGCTCCGCGGCGGCAAGCCGCCTGCCAAGCTCGTGGCGGTCGGCATCGGGACGGCCGAGCGAGGCCGAGAGTACTGCGAGCACGTCGGCCTCCCTGCGGAAACCCTCCTCTGCGATCCAGAGAACGCCGCGTACGACGCTCTCGGCCTGAAGAAGGGAGTTGCCACGACCTTCTTCACTGTTGACACGCCCTTCGCGATTCTCGATCGCGCGCGCAAGGACGGCGCCGCCGACCTGATCGACGCTACCAAGCGCTGGAAGCCGTGGCTGCCGCCCAAGAATGACCAGGGCCTGCAGCAGGGCGGCGCGTTCGTCTTTGAAGGCCCCGACCTGCTGTTCTCGCACTTCGACCCCAGCACTGGCGCGCACGCAAAGCTGGACGACTTGCTCGAGGCGGCGGCGAGATAACAGGCCACCGCTGCCTGAGGCGTGTACATGTACATGTAGCTCCAGAGCCCTCGCGCGAGATGACGCCACGACTGCCAACGGGCGCCGACACGCCCAGAGGTCGCGGCTGAGACCAACGCGCAGAGGGATCTCTCTGTGGGTGCCAAGAGGAAGGTGAGCGCGGTGTTGCCAGCAGTGTCGTCCTATTTGAATCAGGCATCACACACAGTTCTCTCCACACCCATCTGACTGAAAGGTCTCAGCCTCCACGGTCCACGCCCCGGCTCCACCGACACACGTTCAACACCGCTCCTATAAGCTCTTCAGCAGCCCGGCCACAGCGGGGGCGCACACGCACGATCCAGGTCTCGGTGTGCGGCCCTCATCTTGCTGTTGCGGCCTTGCCAGCGTCATTCCGCGGCGAGTTGATACCAAAGTGTGTCGGGAGCGGAGGGTGTCGGTGGCAGCCTCACCTCCTTCCATACTGCTTGTCGATGTAGTGCTGATGATACTCCTCAGCGTCGTGCCACTGCTTTGCGTCGAGCACGGGGATGGGCTTGCCGCTCTGCCTCGCAATTCTCTCGGCGGTCGCCCTTTGCTCCGCATTCTGCGCCCACACGGCGCTCATGTACTGCGGCTTGCTCTTGTGGGCCGACGCCTCGGCGAAGAAGCGTGTCATCAGCGCCTCGTATGAAGTCTTGGTCGGGTCGTACTCCACCTTGAGAGCCTCTGTGTGCCCGTCCCCGCGGCAGACGGTGGAGTACGTGGGGTTCGAGGACGCACCACCCGTATAGCCGACCGAGGTGGAGACGACGCCGGGAAGCGAGTCGTACTCGGCCTGCGGATGCCAGAATCACCCCAGCGCGATGACGGCCGTCTCGGTGGCGGCGGCCAGTCCCGCGGCCGCGGCCGGGTCTGGATCGCATAAAGAGAGAGATTTGGTTTGGGCAGTCCATAGCGGAAGCGGCCATAGAGGAAGCGGCTGAGGACACGATGTGTTTTTTACTCGCCATTTTCCTCCTCTGGGGCGGCCGGGTCCCCATCTGCTCGCCCCGCATCACGCACCTTATCTAGCACCTTCGCTCGCGCCGCCTCGCCGCGCCACTCGAGAATGCTCGCAGCTGCCGACCCGATCTGCTGACGGGCGCCGGCATCTGGCTCGCACGATCTGCGCCCTCCACCGGAATTCGTATGCAGCATAGGCACCGGGTCTGCAGCACCGGCTCAACGCCGCGCCCCGCGGTCGGTGCAAGCAGGGAATGTTCCCGCTGCTGCTCTGCTGCAGCCTCGAGTCGCGGTGCGGCCTCCGCACTCTCGGCGTTCGCCTCTCGCCCTGCTGCAGCATCCGTTCCCATCTCTGGCTGCCGTTCGCCGAGCGCCTCCTCAAAGCATGCGAGAATCTCGTCGCTCTGAAGGTCAGCCTCGAGCACGTCGTCGGCAGCGCGGATGCTCGCCCGGCCGGTCGGCCCTCGAGACCTCACAGTGGCGGCCGCCTCTGACAGCGGCGGCAGCCTCCCAAGCTGGCCACGCATCATGCTGCGCTTCGCGAGCAATCGCGTAACGTGAGGCTCGCTGGCTTTTTGTGGCTTTTTGGACGGCTTTTTTGGATTCTCCCGCCCTCCAACCCCTCTCTTGGATTTTTTCTGTGTCTTTTGTGGTGCTAGTTCGTGCCAGTGCTGGAGAGGGGCTTTATATCTAGAATTCTTTCTTTCGTTTGGCACTCGACACAGCCTTCCTACTCTGACAAAAAAAGAGTGGGCTACATATACACGTATGCGAGTAGCAGACAGTCGCGCCGCACACGACAGAGGGAGAGGGAGATTTTTCAGTGTATGTAGCTCTTACGTACATTCCCGAAGGAGGACTGCTGACGGGGTTTGCGATGAGGAGCGATCCAATTTTTAGAAGCCAACAAGAATTTTGGCACTGACAGTGACAGTAACACGGAAGCTGAGGACGGCCACTGACTCGGTAAATGCTAGTACATGTATAGTATAAGCCCGATCCGTCGTAGAGTTCTTGCGCTTCGGCGGTTAGTGGTGCACTAACCTCCGAGAAACCCTTCGGGTCGCTCCTCATCGCAAACCCTGTCAGCAGAGTCCTCCTACGGGAATGTAGTCAGAGCTACATACACTATAAAGAAAACCTCGGCGAAACTTGACGTGGCAAATTCGGCCCCAGGACTGACCCGCCGCGTACATACTCCTATGTCGGACGAGGAGAAGACGGACGACGAGAGCGAGGAGAGCGGAATGGTCAGCGGCGGCCACGCTGATCGCGTCGCCGACCGCCTGTCCAAACAGAACGCCATGGCCCGCATCTCCACGACCGTGAGCAACGCAAAGAACGTGGCATTTGATGGCCTCGGCGAAAGAGGCATGTTTGTGGTTGGCGCCGCCGCCGTGGCGCTGGGCGGCCTCGCTGCCTGCTTCTGGGCGTACAGCACATCAATCGGAGCGCAGAAGGTCTGTCTCAAGTCCTCGCTCGGCGTCCATGTGACAGTCTCGCGTGACGGCGTCGCTAGGCTCGGAGGAAACAGCTCGGCCGAGTCCGAGTCCTTCCTGGCGTTCAAAGTTTCTCCGGCCATGGTGGCCCTGCTTCGCGCACGAGCCTCCGCGCTGAACCTCGACGAGCAGGGCCGGCGGCCGCAGATTCTGACCCTCTCCAACTGCCACTGCTCTGGCTTCTCCAACGCTTATGGTTTTGGGGGCTACTGCGAGCGGTGGGAGGAGAGCTCGCAGCAGCCGTGGTGCTACGTCGACGAGGAGTGCTCCACGTCCGCGGCAAAGGGCTCCTTCGGTCTCAAGAGCCAGACGTGCAACCCCGAGGTGCACACGGCCACCGAGGGGGCGGGCTACCCGTCCGACCCCGCCCCGAGCTCCAACGCGCAACAGCTTGCCGGCTGGCGGGCGCCCCCTGGGTGCGCGTGCAGCGGCTACCAGAACAAGCACGGGTACGGCGCGTTCTGCAAGGCGTGGGAGGACGCCCTCGCTCCGGGGCAGACGCCCTGGTGCTACACAACCCCCAACTGCTCCTTTGTCGAGAAGCTTGGCCTGCCGCGCCGCGGCTCCTTTGGCCAGCCCTACGTCCACTGCGAGCCGTGGTACGAGCGGCTGACGCCGTCCACCTCGCCTCCGCCACCGAGTCCGCCGCCGCCGCCGCCGCCGCCACCGCCGCCACCGCCGCCTAGCCCCCGCTACCGCCGCCGGGCGACGCCGACCGAGCATGAGGCTGCCGCGGAGGCGCTGGCGGGCCAGGCGACACAATACGTGGCTCTCGTGTCCCAGACGACCGGGTTGTTTGCCACGGCGCGCCCGCCACCACACAGGGCGGCCATGATGCTTCAGGCGCGCGACGTCGGCCTCTCGATCCACGGCGTCTTCGCGCCCCTGCCCTCGGGGCACCTCCTCGCGCTCGGCACTCGCGCCCTGCTGGGCCTGTGTGCCGAGCCGGGTCAGCCAAACGCAGCGCCGCTCCTCTGCACCGGGTACCACCAAAAGGGGAGCAACGAGCCCCACCGCAAGTTCCTTCGCACGCCGACTCACCCGTCGGCGCTCAAGTTCGAGCTTAACGCGTGCTGAAGGGCGTGCGAGACTCGCGGACCCACAAGAGTCTGGCGTGGAGGATAGGGAGGGGTGGGGGCGGGGGGGGGGGGGGGGGGGCCCCCTTGGGCTCCTCCAAAGGACAAACCCCCCGGAATCCCCCCCACCAAAATGGTAAGGGCCCCGAAAGAGGGGGGAAAAAAAAACTCCCGAACCCTTGAACTGCCCCCCGGGGGGGGGGGGGGGGGGGCACGCTTGGGCTCGTCGACAGGACGAACGCCGCGGAGTCGCGCCAACCAAGATGGTAGGGGCGCGGGAGGAGGGGGGGAAGGAGAGCTGCGGGATCCTTGAACTGCGCTCTGGTGTGGTGTGTGTGCCTTCAAGAAGTTTCACCATTGTCGCGGTACTAATAGCGTAATAGTATGAAAAAATAAAAAAGCCGGAATTCGGGTGGCAAGTACTCTCGCCTCGGCAAAGCTGAGAAGGTTTGGCGGGACAAGCAAGAGGAGGGGTGCCGTCCAGGTGGCACGTCCTTATAGCCCTTAGGTGTATTGTTGGCAAACGTCAAGACACATATAGCTCACACAGAATCACAGCGGGAGGAAAGCGGCGAGTCGCAATTCCTGGGGTCCTTGTGGCGGGCCACCCTGTCCAGAAAGGCATGGATGCCAATCTGGGGTCTCTCGACCGAGTCTATGAAGCCCTGCCTGGCCGCTCCCGGTGTGGTGGCAAGGTTATAGAACCAAGCGACGGAGATGGTGCGGGGGTACGGGTGTTCCAGGGGGTCACGACAGGTGGCACGTCCTGGAGTTTGTGGCGTGCTCCGCTCACTTCCTAGAGTTAGAAGAATCTTGGTCAAAGCGCAATTGTCGCTGCGATTCAATATCCCCTCCTATCACCGGGGAGACTCGAGCACCGAGACTGCCGGGAAGACACACCTGCACAGCACATGCATGGACGGGGACTGCCGTCAGACAACTCGCGTTCTTCAGATTCATCCACCGACGTACCGCGAGCAGGTCGTAGCGTGTAGGTGTGTGTGATTCCGAGTCTGATTACGTGTGGGTGTAGAGCCGCGCGTGTAGCCTGCTAGTGGCCGCGGTACGTCGGTGGGGCTGCATGTGGAGAGAGAAGTACTGGTATCTGAAGTCCAGCGGGCCGATTCTACACCGGTCCGCACCGCGCACACCCTCATCGGTCACCGCGACGCACGACGCGGTCACGCTCACGATTCGTCTGCGACTCACACACGTCACTCTCTACGGCCGGCGGCTCTATAATCTCTTATATCGTCTTCTGACTTCTCGTCGAGACTCCCACACAGCGCACGCACACGGGGAGACCGTGAAGTTCAAACCGTCACATCGGGGCCCGCCAGTGTCCACCCATCGTCGCCGCCCAACGTATCCGCCACCTCTGGACCCGCGCGGTCACCCAGCCCCAGCGCACCTGGCGCCTCCTGCCCCGCCTCCAGCGGCGTGTCGCGCCCGAGGTCGACCTTGAGCTTGAGCCTCTTGTTCTCGTACTTTGGGTTTGGTTTGGACGCCCACGCCATCAACTGGAACCTGAGCTTCTGCACCTCGCTCATTCGGTCGGCGTCCGGCACGCCCGCCAGATAGTCCTCCGCCCGAAAGACCTCCGTGCGCCCGGTCGCAGCCGCCGCCCTCGCGGCCGCCAGCGCGGCCTCTGCGTCCTCGCGCCAGTCGGGCGCAACCAGCGCGGCGGCGTCGTCGTCGAACGACTCCTTGTGTAGCAAGTCGAAGAGCTCGAGCGCCTGGAGCGGCGAAGGTGCCTGCGCGTGGCGGGAGGGGGCGGTTGCGCCGGACGGGGAGGGCGGGTCCGCGCGGGATCGGCCGAGAGGCGCCGGCAAATCGAGTGCATCCTCGTCGCCAGCGACAGGGGAGAGGCGGCAGACGGCGGAGGGGAAGCCGTGGCCGATCTTTGCGTCCCACACGCCGAGCGGCTGCTCGCGCACACTCGCGACCGACGTGGCGGCGACGAGCGACTCGCCCGCCGGCTCGGGCGCGGCAACGCGCAGCCGCAGCAGCAGCCACGAGCCGAGGCTGCGCACGGGAGGCCGATCGGGCAGTAGCGATGGCCGCCAATCGCGGCGGGTGAGCGACTCCGCCGGGAAGCAGAGCCACCAGGCACCGTACAGGCCGTAGCAGAGCGCGCCCAGCCGCGCGCACAGAGAGCCCGAGGCCGCAGTGGTCGCGGCGCCTACGCCCGGCGGCGCGAGAGCGAGGAGCGGAGCGACAGGCGCGGTCAGCAGCGCGCGCGTGGCAGCAGCCACGGGGTGGGGGAGCGCGCGCGCCCACCCGTGCGTGAGGGCGGACGCCATCGGCACCTGCAGCGCGGCGGAGAGGGCGCGCGCGAGGGCGGCGGCCTAGAGAAGGCTCCGGGAGAGGTCTCGGAGGGCTCCAGGGAGAGGACTGTGTGCCAGGGCGTCCGCCTCGAGGGCACAGAGCGCCGTGGCGACGAGGCGCCAGCAGCGGAAGCGGGAGGCGCCTGGTGGACACGTCCCGTCCGGGTGCGAGTACACGCGCCGAGTGCTCTGGCGCGCTGCATTAATACAGAAAGCTGTTGGAAATCCTGGGCGTGAAGACGAGGGAGAACCGCCAATCGCGAGTATGGCCGTTGGAGGCGCCGGTTGAATGCAGGGGTGTGTGCTGCTCGGCATCTAGCGGGAGGCGCCGACTCCTCCGCGTTCGGAGAAGAGCTCGTCGGAGAGGTCCCTCCAGTACCTAGAAGGGGCCCGAGAAGGGTCTTGGAAGGCTCCGAGGAGAGGTCATCGGAGAGGTCCCTCTCGCGCCACAGCGCCGCGCCCATGCCCAGGCGGGATGAGAGCGCCAGCCCTACACCCGCAGACGAGACAACTAGGCTGAGCACGAGCGCGGCAGCCACCGGCCCGGGGAGGGTTGGGTCGGGTTTAGGGCTGGGGGCAGACAGCCCGCGGTGGCGCAACGGCGGAGGAGGCGCGGCGTGACTGAGGCGGCGGAGGCGCGTGTCTCGGAAGTGTGTGCGCTACCGAGAGGCTCGAGCGGGTTGGCGACGCGGGAGAGTGCGGACGCCGCGACCAGGCCGCTGCCCGCGAGCAGGTAGCCCACGCAGAGCACGTCGGGCGCGCGCGCGCGAGGCAGCCACGAGGAGGGAGCACCGCGCGCGGCAGCTGCTGCGGCTGCCGCGCCCTGCGCGGCGGCGGCGCCCGCCGCTGGGTACGGCGGTACCTGCGGCAGCCTGCCCGCGGCGCGCGAGCGAGCGTTTCGCCACGCCTGCAGGGCGAGATGTGCCCCCGGCAGCGCGGCGTGCACCCACGGCGCGAGGGCAAGCGACAGCGCGGCGGCGGCGGCGGGACGTCTCCAGCCGAGCAAGAGTGGCAGCGCCAGCGAGCAGCGCACTACCGGCTGCAGCCGCTCTCGGAAGGCGAGGACCGCGTCGCGGCGGGCGGCGGTGGGGAAGACGCCGTACAGGCGGTGGTGCCAGAAGTCTCGCGCGTCCAGCCGGTCGTACTCGCCCTCGTCGTCATACCCGGGTGGCGGCTTGGGAGGGACGAGTTCGGGCGCCGAGAAGGCTGGCTCGCCGGTGGAGCTGAGCGCCGCGGTGAGCTGCTGCGGAGGCCGGCCGCTCGCCTTCATGCGGCGCGAAACCTCCTGGAGCACATTCAAGTCGAGCTCGTACGGCGATCCCTCCTCAAAAAAGGCGGCGGTCGGGTCAGCCTCTGCAGGCGGCGGCAACTCTCCGTCGGTGGCAGCTGCTCGCAAAGCGGCCGCGCGGGCTGCTGCGAGTGATCTTCGCGGCACAGGCGGCAGCAGGGCAGCTGTGAGCAGCAACATGCCTGGCGAGGGATCCCTAGCGCGCGCGCGCGGCCGAATTCAGATGAAGAAACACCAGCACGCCGTGGTACCGAAAATGCACAGCGCAACACAACGTGTGTGGTGGGGGATCTTCCTGCCGTATTCACTTCCAGCCCATGCTCAGCGACAGAGATGGCAGAGTGAGATCCAATCTGACGATATGCTGCTCTGCTGTTGTCAGTGTTACATTCTTTTCTTCAGAAAAAGAATTCGATCGGCCCAAATAGGTCGATTCCGCACCTCCCGCCCAAGCGCCCGTACGATTAGCAAAAGCGGCCGAGGAGCGTGTCGCCCCTTCCGCCTCTAGCAGGCGGCGGCGGCCGCCGCCGCCGCTTCCCGCAGCGCGCTGGCCGCCTCCGCCTCTGAGCTCAGGTTGAGCTTCTCCTCGTTGAAGGGCGAGAGCACCTGCCACCCAGAGGGGGCGGAGCAGACACCGGGCGGCGTGTGAGACAGAGGCGCGGAGGGAAGGGAGCGTGGCGGGCGAAGAGGAAGGCGCGCGAAAGGCTTGGGCGTCGTCTCGCCTCCTGCGCCTCGCCGCGCAGCGTCGTGAGCTTGGCGCGGCGGAGCGGGGGCGTCTGCTCTCCGACCCACGAGAGCAGCGTGAAGCGCGTCACCTTTGGCGCACCAAGGGATGCGTCCCCCGACCCGTTTCACCGCTCCTCCCTCCCTCCCTCCGGCGTCTCTCACCTTTGGCCGGACCACGTCCTCGGCGGACCCCATCTCGTGCTCCGTGCGCAGCAGCGCCCACTGCGCGCTCGCCGGGTCGAAGGCCGCGGGCAGCGACTCGCCGCCGTCCGTGCCCGTGCTCTCAACCTTGAGCTGGGTGCCCGAAGCCTCGTACCCCAGCAGCACCCACGTCGCTCCGCCGCTGCCCTTGCGCACGGCCGCGATCGCTGCCGCCACCGCGGGCGACACCGCCGTCCCCGCCGGCTGCGGCGGAGCCATGACCGCCGCCTTGGTCTTGTGGGCGCCGACGTCGTTGTGCCGCCCGCCGATGGCAGTGGCAACTTCTGCGGCCGCGCCGCTCTTGCTTGCGGCCGCGCCCGCCCGTCCGTCGCTCACGGCGCCGCCTCCGAGTTCGCGGACGAGCGCGTCCACAGTGGCTGAAGTCACCTCGGACGGCTCGGTCGCCGACATCAGCTCCGCGTGGAAGGGCGCGAAGACCTCTGAGACGGCGCCTTTCACGGTCGACACCTTGGCGCGCTTCATCGTCGAGAGGGCGGAGCCGATGAAGGAGAGGAACACAAACTTGATCGTGGTCGACTTGTCGATCTGGTCCGTCCGGCGGACCAGGCCGTAGAAGACCGCGTCGTCAGACAGCTGCGCAGCCAACGCCTCCGCGCCGCCCTCGCCCTTGCCCACCAGGCGCAGGGAGCTGCCGTCGGGCTCGAGCGCGCAGAGAGCCCAGTCGGTGGGAGACGCGTCGGAGCGCACGTCCGAGAGGGCAGCCTTGAGCTCCGCCGGCGCGTGCACCTTCACGGAGCGAAGTGTTCGCATTGTGTTGGGCACGGCGGCGAAGGCGGGGCGATGGATGGTCGGCCAGCCCAGCGAGAATTCTTCTCGGTCTCGCGGGCACCGCACCCGTGCTGCCACAAAGCACAATGTGCTGCCACAAAGCACCACTAGCGATTTCGCGCGGAGGGCGTAGTGAAGTGCTGGGGCGCTCACTGTGTGTTATTCGGGTGGGGATCCATCAGTGGTAAGCGGCTTTAGTCACAGATCCAAGCTCAGACGTCACACCAACACCACAAACACGCTCACTTCGCCGCTGCTGTAGATGGGCCTCCGGGGGCCCATGCTACGTCGAAGCACAGACCCGATCTCGGCACTCACGGGCTGCCACGCGCCCGCACGCGGCGCGGGCCGCACCGCCCATGCCCCCGGGTCACCAACCCCGCCTCTCGGCCCTCTCGGCCCTCAGGAGCGTGCGGGAGACCGGCGAGGGGCGCGCCGCGCGCCGCCTGCAGAGCCGCCAGAGGCATTGTGTCGCCTCCGCTGGCGGGGTTCCCGCGCGCCCGCCCGCGCCCGCGCCCGCCCACGCCGCGCCCGCGGGCTCCGGATGCGCCGCGCTCCTTCTCCTTCTTCTCGATGGCAGTCCGCGTGTGCTTGTCGACGGGTCGGCGGCGTGGTCGAGGGGAAGGTCGCCGGCGGCCGCAACTCTGCCGCCGTCGCTCCGCCGGCTCTGACCGAGTATCGGGCGTTGAGGGCGGCGGCGCAAAGCGGGTCTGGCGCATCCATCGCCACGAGCCTCGCGGCGGCGGTCGTGGCACACCTGGCGGCGGCTCTCGGGGCCGTCTCTACGGCGCTCGACACCGTGTGAGGTCACCGGCGGCCGCAACTCCGCCGCCGTCGCTCCGCCGGCTCTAACCGAGTATATCGGGCGTTGAGGGCGGCGGCGCAAAGCGGGTCTGGTGCGCCACGGCCACCACCCTTGCCACCGCCCTTGCCGCCGCCCTTGCCGCCCTTTGCCGCCTTGCCTCCGCCGCGGGCGGCGGTGGGAGCGGCCTGCTGGGCTAGCATGTTGTCCGTAGCTGTGGACGGGCACGTGGAACGCACGTTATATGTTCGAACGGCCTCCGGGATTCAAACAAAAAATAGCCGGGGCCCTCTGTCGCAACCCCTCCGACCCCCCGGGACCCGTGGGCGTCGAAGAGGCGCTCTCGGGGGGCCGTTCTGAGTTCATGCTACCACGAAGCACACTGTGCTGCGTCAAAGCACCGGCCCCGAGTCCGTTATGCTTGCCAGTCCGCGCCCTTGTCGTGCCAGTCTATAGAGAGGCTTGTTCTTCAAGAATTCTTTTCCCGAAGAATTCTCGGCACAATTTGAACGCAGAGCCTACGTAGGTCGCGTCACACACACGACCGCGGCCCGCTACTCGGCCGCCATTGCGCCACTCAGTCGCCGCCCGGCTCGCTCGAAGGGTGCGCCTCCGTCGACTCCTCACCCTCGCCCACGGGTGTGAACATCTTCATTGGCCGCAGCGTCGACTTGCCCTGCGCCGGCCGCCGCTGCGCGCGGCTTGGCGTGTGCGTGGGCGTGTTTTGGTTCCCCTCCTGGGAGCGGAGGAGGGTCGGGGGCGGCAGATCGGGCGGGGAGAGGGAGCGAGAGAGGCGATCGATGCGGGAGAGGGGCGATGGGGAGAAGGGCGGGGGAGGGGCGCAGGCCCCCCGTACCTGGCTCGTCGCCCCCTTGCCCTTGAGACGCTTCGTCCACGCCTAATCTCGGGTGATCTCGGGTGATCTCGGGTCGGCTCGCCCCGTTGCCTCGACCAGCTTCCGCCCGCGCCTCGTACGCGTCGAAGAGCAGCTCGGAGAGAAGGCGGGCCTCCGACCCGCCCGCCCGCAGCGTGCGCTCGTTCTTGAGGTAGAGGTAGAGGGTGCGCTCCTGCGAGGGCGCGTCACGGGCCATCTCGGGTAATCTCGGGTCATCTCAGCGCCTCCCGCGAGGGTGCCGTGGACGCGTCGCCGCGCTCGTGCAGTGGCCGAAACGAGGAGGGGTGGAGGGCGGCGGGCGGGTGCGCTCCTGGTTAGCGCGCGGCAGCTGCACGGGCGACATCTGCGACTCCATGTCGACGTAGTGGACCGAGTCCTTCTGCTCCCCCTCCTCCTTCGGGTTGTAGAAGCCCGTGTTCCTACGCCCGGCGCGCGCGCGTGTGGGCAGACGGCGTCGGGCGCCGCAGCGGGGCGCGACAGCTCTGCTAGAGCGACAGCTGTTGCGCGCCAGAGCGGGTCGTACACGCGCCAGTAGAGGTTGTCCCCGTGGTCGCCGCCGAGGACAGAGCACTTTGAGCAGGAGGGCGGCTTGATGTCGACGAGCCAGACGCACCTACAGCATGAGCCCCGCTCACCGCACGCCGCGCTCGGCGCCGAGACCGAGCCCGAGGCGCGCCAGTCGACGTCGGAACAGGTGCCCACCTCGCCGCGCCACGCCTACCAGCGGCAGCCCCGTGGAGAGACGCGGCTCGTGGCACGGCCTCCCCCGCCTCGGCGCGCCACGCCTCGTCGACGAACGTTAGGATGTCTTGCTCGAAGTCGGGCGGCCGCTTGCCGATCAGCTGCGCCACCTGTGCGCGCGGGCGGGCGTGAGGGCGCCTGCGATGCGGGCACGCCTCGCGCCGAGCCGCAGGAGGCACCGCCGGGTTGTTTGGGCCGTGAGGCTCGTCGGGCCTCTCGCTGACGTGAAGGCGACCCTTGCACTTTTTGCCGCACGCGCCGCAGAACTTGCTGCGGATCTCCGTCAGCTCGCCGCAGTAGTAGCACTGCGGCAGCGGCGAGATCTGCGTCGAGCGGCCGATCTGGCGGTAATAGTCGCGTTTCTTCATCCGCTCGATCAGCCCCTGCGCCTCGTCGAGCCCCTCTTCAAGCGAGACGTAGATTGAGTCGAGGATGGCGTCGGTGAGCCGCGCGAACGCCTTCGGGTCGAGGGCGGCCTGCGCGAGCGTGGTGGCGGCGTTGTCGCTGCCGCGGAAGGAGAAGTGGTCGTTGGCGAGTTTGAGCACCTGCTCACGCCCAAGCGCGCATCAGGAGACGCGCCTTCCCGAGCGGCTGGCGTGCGCCGAGCCGGGTGATCTCGGGCGATCTCGGGCGATCTCGGGTGATCTCGGGTGATCTCGGCTCGCGGCGAGCTCGAGCGCACGTCGGTGATCATGAGCTCTGCGACGTTGGCGGTGTGGTGCTGGTAGAGCTTCTTGTGCAGCTTGGCGCGCAACGTGTAGATCTCGACCAAATCTGTGGCCACCTGACTCACACGACCTCACCCTCGAGTCGAGTCCCACCTGTCAGTACGTCTCGACCAGGCTGGCTGCAGCCTTGAGCTGGAAGCAGATCTGCGCCTGCGCCTGCGCCTGCACCGCGTCGGCCGACGCGCGAGCGGGCCGGTCCCGCCTAGGAGGGAGGGGGAGGGGGGGGGGGGGGGGGACACTCCTCCCGAGGCTAATGGGGCCAAGGCCAGACTACCCCTCTCCACGTCCAAAAGACAGGAGGAGCCTCCCGGTGTGCGCGCGCGTGGTGTGCGTGGTGTGCGTGAGCGTGTGCCTGCCACCCTCGAGACGCCCATCCTGTGTCCACCGCGCGCCGCGGATGCGATCCGAGTGCCTATGTCACCAATACGCCCAAAGGTCACCAATACGCCCAAGCTGCGGGCGTGCACACACGGGCTACAACGGGCTACGCATGCGGTGGAATGCGGCTGAGAATGCCAGCTGATGCCAATGCGTGCCCTCTCGAGTGCCACTCGGAATGCACGGGCCTGTAGCTCCCGCATCTAGGACCCGGGTGCGGCGTGATGACGCGAGTCGACTCGAAGAGGCGAGAGAGCTCGAAGGGGCGCGAGGCGCCGTGGCACGCCATCGCATCGCGCAGAAGGTAGTCGAGTTTGTCGACGTCGACGCCTGGCGGCGAGGGAGTGCACCGCTAGTCTCGCGTGCCAACGGGGAGCGCCGGAAGCGCCGAGCTGCCACACGGCGCCGCTGCGCGAGTTTGCTCACGACGTGTCGCGGCTGTTCTCGCGTCATCTCGCCCGATCTCGCCCGATCTCGCTCGATCTCGGCTGATCTCGGCCAATCTCGGCCAATCTCGGTTGATCTCGCCGTTGCGCGAGTTTGACACGATGTCGAAGAGGAAGCGCTTGCTCTTGTCGCGGCCGATGTCCTGCGGCCACTCCTCGGCCGGCTTGAGCCCCTTGACCAGCGCCTAGACCGACCGAGGCTCGCGAGATGGCCGAGGCGTAGCCGAGACACGGGCCCGGCTCGAGCCCCGTGGGGGTGCAGCGCCTTGACGAAGCGGCGCTGCTCGGCGGGGCAGGCGGCGCTGCTGCAGTAGGCGGAGAGCTCGATCCGGTTCGAGTCGAGCAAGTCGTCGAAGAGAAGCACCTTCCCCGCAAGCGTCGCCTCTGGTGAGGGGCGGGGCCTTCCCCATGCCGGCCGCTGGGAGAGGGGGAAGGGGAGGGAGGGAGGGGGGGAGGGAGAGGGGGGGGGGGGGGGGCCAAAACCCCAAAGGGTCAAAGGGCCACCGACATTTCCTCGGGCTCCCAGGGTTGCAGCCGCGCCGCGGGGGCAGCCGCCCCCTCGGGTTTTTTGCCCAGGGGGAGTTTTGGGGGGGGGAGTTCCTCCTGCCCGCCTACTTTCGGGACCGTTCGGTTCCTTTTGGGTGCGCTCGGAATCGTCGGGGGGGGGGTCTCCTCTCAGCCCGCCCTGCCATTTGAAAAAGGTCTCTTACATGTGCAAAAAGGGCCCGTGCCCCAGGTCGGGCACAAGGCCGGCGAGCTGCCCCCAAAACACGTCGTCCTCCAAAATCTGCAGCTCGGGCTGCTGGACGCGCAGGTGCTTGAGAAGCGTTCCCGCGAGGTGGGCGACGCCGATCGAGTGCTCCTGCGGGGGGCGGGCGGGTGGAGGAGAGGGCACGGCTGGAGACGGGCGAGGGCGCGGCAGGAGAGGGCGGCGCGGCAGAGGCAGCCGGCGGAGAAGTGCTCTGGGCCGAGGCGGCGGCGAGGGAGAACACTCTCTAGCCGCGGGCGCCTTGCGGGAGTGCTTTGCCGACGGGTAGACAAAGTGGCAGCCGCCGAGCTGCTGGATCTGATCGAGCCGCTGGAAGTGGGGCGTGTCCATCACCGCGACGAGCAGCGGCGGCAGCGCCACCGTGCCGTGCACGCGGTCATGGATACTCTTGTCCTTGGCAAGGGGCACCGCCTCGGATGGACCGCCGCCGCTGCCGCCGCCGCCGTCGAGCGCGGCGTTCGCGTTGCTGCTGCTGCGGTTCCTTTTCACCGTGTCGTGCGGCCGCGGCGTCGGGTTGTCGGTGACGCTCATCTGCGAGCTGCTCATCGGATCGTCGACGAGGTTTGCAAAAGCCTGCGTGCTGTCGTCGTCGTCATCCGACGGCGGCGGCGCGTGCTCCGCGTGCGGCGATTGACCAGGACTGGCAGTGCGCTGGCGCTTGGGGGCCATCTCGCAACCGCTCGCGTCCCTCGGTTCTCCGCCGTGTAGTGCTTGAGCAGCCGGGCGGTAGCCGCAGGCTCCACCTCGAACGGTTGCTCGTCGAGCCACTCGCCGAAGGTGCCCTCGAGTAACCAGTATTTCTTTTTAGCACTGGTGCCAGCGCTCGCCAGTCCCGTTCGAAGGACCACCTGCCACCTGCCACTTGTGTACTATGCGTTGCGCTGCCCACAGCCACTCAGCCAGTCAAGCACAGACCTGCGGCCGTTGGCTGCGGCGACCTCGAGGGTCTCCGCTTCTATGAACGCCGTTAAGAGTACCCGGATCGCTCGCCGCCATTCGATGCGGCGTTGACCAGGTAGCGGGGGGCGCCCAGCAGGGCGCCGGCACCCCTAGAGGGCTGTCGAGCCCCTGCCTATGGGCGCGAAGCGCTCCCGCGTACGGCAATTCCGGCTGGTCTCGACTGGTCCGGGAGAAAGACACTCACTCACTTGGCGACCACGTGAGCGCGCCCCGCCCCCTCAGTAGCCGAACCCAGCCGCGAATGAATGTGGGCCGGCGGAGAGCATGTGGCGTACCTCCCCGACCCGGTCAAGCTGGCCTCCGAGGCCGGCTACCCCGCGCCAGACGTGCGCGAGCGGCTGGCGGGTGAGGCCGGCATGGCCTTCACCACGCTCTCCTGCGAAGACGTAGCCTCGGGCCGGCTCGCGGGTCACACTGTGCTTGTGGTCCCGGGTGGGTTTGCGCCGCACACCTTCGCTCGGCTAGGCGATGCAGGCGCCGCCGCGATTCGCGAGTGGACTCGCGCGGGCGGCGGGTTCGTCGGCGTGTGCGCCGGCGCCTTCCTCGGGTGCGAGTTGGGTCTGCTCCCGGTGTCTGTGCGAGATATCGACCACGTCGGTGCTGAGGCGACGCCGTGCCGCGTTGCCTTCACTGCGGCCGGCCAGGACCTTCTCGGCGGGCCTTCGGCGCCCGTCATTGCACGGTATGCGAACGGGCCACTCTTACAGCTGCTCGAGCAAGAGGGCGGCGGCGCGGCGCTGCAGGTGCTCGCAACCTTTGCGTCGAGCGCTCGCCCGGCGGCGGTGGCGATGGAGGGGTCGCCGGCGATCGTCGCCGGCAGGTTCGGAGACGGGCTGGTGCGCTGCTCGCCTCTCCCTCGAGGGCGGGCCCGAGGGATTCAACAATCAGTTTCGACAAACTCGCTCAGGTGCTGCTCGCCTCTCCACACCTCGAGGACGGACCTGACGAGCGGACGCGCGCCCCCTTCCGAAACCTCGCTCGGCTCGCGCACGGGTTCGGGCGGGCGGCGCGCCACGAGCGGCGGCTGCACGAGGGGCCTCGCAGGGGCCTTCCTGGAGCAGCGCCTTCCTGCGCTGGCAGCCGCCGAGGCGCGGCGCGAGGAAGGGCGGGCAGCTGCACGGGCGGTACGCCGTCCGCCGACGCCGCTTGCGGCAGCCTCTCAACGGGAGAGGGCGGCAGCGACGGTGGCGGCGGAGAGGACGGCAGCGATGGTGGCGGCGGAGAGGGCGGCAGCGATGGTGGCGGCGGAGAGGGCGGCAGCGATGGTGGCGGCGGAGAGGACGGCAGCGATGGTGGCGGCGGAGAGGGCGGCAGCGGCCGGGCTGGACGTGCGTTCGTGAGCTTGGACAGACTCCTCGAGATCCGGCGCTCCCTCTGTCCGACCGACGCCGTCGCGCGGGAGCTGTGAACGGCGCCTCTTCACGGCTGGGCGGTGAGTGCAGGCTGTCGCTCTACGCCGACGACGTCGCCCCTCCGCCAGAACCGCTGACGGAGGCCGAGGCGGAGGCTTTCTTCTCGTCTGGCGGCGCCACGCGCCCCGCCTGGGCGAGCGCGGTGTGCGACGCGGCCGCGGGCGCGTCGCTCGGTGCGGAGGCGACGGCGGCGCTGCTCTCGCGCGGTTTGGCGTGCGGCGACATCGCGGCGATGAGCGCGGGATCGCTGGCGCGCCTCCATGGTAGCTGGTTAGTGGTGGTTAGCAGTGTTCAAGCAGCCAATCGCTCCTCTCCTCGGGGATCAAGATCGCCCTGGATCGCCCTGGATCATGCTGGATCATCCTAGCATCGCGCGAGGTCACCCGAGATCGCCCGTAGGCACGCCTCAGGGTTGGCACGATTGGCCAGATGGTGCGGCTGCGCGCGTGTGCCGCCGATCAGCAGCTTCCTCCCCCGCCGCTGCTCTCGCTCCCTGAGGACTTGCTGCAACGAATCCTCCACATGGCGAGCACATGGCCCGGGGGCGACGCCGCCGCCATGCCGCTTGTCTGCCGCCACTGCGCGCGGCTGTGCGACGAGGCGTGGTGGCGGCGGCTGCTGCAGTCTCGCTGGCCGGGGGTGTGCGAGGCGATGGGCGGGTGTGGAGAGGGCGGTGCCGTGGGAGGTCGCGGGGGGTCCGGGAGTGGCGGCGTTGCGCGCGTGCTGCTGCCGCGGTGGGAGGGGAGGCCGGTCCCGTCGTGGGCTCCCCTCCCTGCTGCTGGCGGGCGCAGGCTCTTCCACCTCCTCGCGCGCGCAGACTTGTCCCGCGGCAGTCTGCCCTACCCGCTGCTCCTTGTCCAACCACCCGCTCCCGCAGCGGCGGAGGAGGCGGAGGCGGAGGCGGAGGAGGCGGAGGCGGAGATGGAGGCGGGGGCGGAGGCGGAGGCGGGGGCGGAGGCGGAGGCGGAGGCGGAGGCGGAGGCGGAGGCGGAGGCGGAGGCGCGGGAGGTCCTGGCGACCGCCGCGCTTTTTGCGTGCGCGCGTCTATGGCGGCAAGGCCCTGCTTTCCTGCCTGCAGCCGCCTGGACCAGGCCTGTGGCCGACTCGTTTGGGCGGTCTTGCGGCATGCTTGTCGCGGGCAAGCCCCGACTTTGTCCCCGTGAGTGCGCACTGTGGACGGCGCCTCTTCACGGATTGAGGTGTGTGCAGGCACCCGCTCCGCGTTCCTCCCGCACCTGCCACCGACGGAGCCGCGGGCAATGCCGACAAGTTTCCTCGTCCTGTTGCCCGCCGCTCCGGCGCAGGCGTTGGGCGGGGGGCGGCCTCCCCTTGTTTGCGCCAGCCCCGTTCCTCTCGCCGCGGGCGCAGCAGTGTGCGAGGTCGCCGGCCGCGTTCGGTTCGCGGACATCGGGCCTGGAGGCGGCGACGCGAGCTCAACACAAGTCAGGCTCTCGGGCAGGGCAGGGTGCTGGTTTGGGGACGGTACGGTGAGGCTCGCCGCGCGGCACGACGGCGCGAGGTGCTACCCGAGACCAGCCGAGATGAGCCGAGATCTCCCGAGATCAGGTGCGACTCGACGTCCTTCGCGAGGGCGCGGTCACCTCTGTCGTCCTCGACGCGCGTGCGGAGGGCAACGCTTCGCGCTGGGTGCGGCTGCAGCGTGCGCAAGCAAACTGCTTCCTCGAGGCGGTCTTTGTCGACGACGGGCCGGCGCGGATTCTCCTGCGCTGCAGCCGTTCGGTCGCTGCCGGGGAACCGCTCTCCATCAGCGACCTGCACCTCCTGTCCGGCCCGAGGCCGCAGCAGGCCGCGGCGGCGGAACCGACGTGCGTGCGCGAGCATTCCACCCGCCCAACTATGCAGGCGCTGGGCGGGATGCTCGGCATGCTGTTGCAGTCGAAGGACAGGGAGGGAGGCGGCGGCGTGTACTGCATGGTGGCTTTGTGAGGCGTTGTGTACCAATACTTTGAGTGGATGCAGTCGCGTGAGAGTACCACCAGCCTAGCCGCCAGCGCCTTGCCGCTCAAAAGCTCCCTATGTTCAATCTAGAGTTGTTAAACCTACACCAAAACGCAACACTCCCGCCAGGATCTCCCACGCCTCTCCGGTCAGCGGTCTGTCTATGCGCGCAAAAAACGATGTGTGTGCGAGACCTCGGCTGAGGGAGGGTGTAGACAGAGCAATGACGATGATGATTCAGCGCGTGAACGCCCGGGCTGCCAACTCGCAGGCACAGGCCGTGAAGAGCCGCGCACGTGCGCCGACGATTACGCAGCTGCGTGCCAAAATAAATAAATAAAACGGACACGCCAGACGAGGGGTGGGAGAAGGACAGGGCCCCCGCCGGCACGAGCAGGATCTTGGAAGGACGATCAGGCCCCGGCCTTCTAAAATTCTTTCCGCGGTCGACCTGCGCACGCAGCGACCTGCTCAGCTCGGCGCCGAAGTTTCGAAACATGCGCCGCCGGCACCGCCGCCGCGGCGGTCCGTCGGGTCTCTTTGTCGTAGGCAACGGGACGCTCGACGCAGACCTCAAGGCCTGGCTCGATGAGCGGCACGTCTCGCTGCCGTGCTCCTACCACGATACAGCCGTGTACTTTGCGCCGACCTCGCCTAATGGGATTGGCAACAAGCTGCTAGCTTTGACCATGTCGTTCCACATGGCGCTGATGCAGCGGCGTGCGCTCGTGGTGACAGACTGGCCGCCAGCAACGATGCCGACATCGTGCACCCGCCGCTTGGCGAGACGACCCTCAGGTGAGCCTCCCTGGACGCGTCATCGAGCCCTTCTAGGTACCCGCTCGAGGAACTCGTGCGGCCGTCGGCGTGTCAGCGGCTCTTCGAGGAGGACCAGCGCGGCCGCGCTCCCATCCGCAAGTGCACAGTCGCCTCCTGTCCTCTCTCGACGGCGTCGCGCTTTCGGAAGGCCTTCACGCAGCCTCACTGGGCGCACCGCCGACGCAGCCCCTCGGCGGTGCGGAGGCCGCCTCTCCTAACACCACACGCCGCGGAACACAGGCGCACCAGTCCACTCAGTTCCTCGAGGCGTGCGATGCGCGTACGTCCCGTGGCAACAACACCTCAGGACATGCCCACACACAAAAACACGACTCGCCCAGGTGCCCGACGAGTGGTCCTCGCGCGTCACGTGGCTCCAGTACTGGCGCGCGCTCACGCAGTACCTCCTCTCGCCCGGCCCGCGCCTCGCGGCCGGCCTCGCGCGCACGCTGCAGGCGAGGCGCCCACAGTCCGCTGCGGCCAGCTCTGCTCCGCCGCATCCCGCTGTGCTCAGTCAACACTTCAGCAGGTGTTGCAGCCCTACACGCCGCACGCCCCCCGCTGACGCGTCCTCCGCCCGCGCCGCTGCAGAGCGCCTCGTTGCTCCGATCCCCGGCCGAGGACGCCGGCCGCGCGCCGCCGCCGCCGCCCCTCGAAGCGCTGCTACTCCGCCGCCCGCCCGCCGCCCACCCCGCCGCGAGCCCTGGCCCCTCCTCCTCGTCCTCCTCCTCCTCGCCCGCCGACGGCAAGGCACGCCCGCCCTTCGCGGCGAGCTTTGGCGAGGGCGTCGCTGCGTGGACGCGCTCGGTGCGCCGGCCCCTCGTCGGAATGCATGTGCGGCTGGGCGACGGGTGCGGCGACGCGAAGCGAGGCGGCTGCAAGTACGTCAAGTCGTTTGCGCACGCCGTCACGCGCTTGCGCGAGGCGGGGGTCACCAGCGGCGCCACCTTACCTAGCGGAGGACCGACTCTGTCGCGGGAGCCGAAAGGCCGCCGTGGGAGCTTTCTGTAGGCGCCCTCTTCCTGCGCCGAGATGAGCCGAGATGAGCCGAGATGAGCCGAGATGAGCCGAGATGACCCGAGATGACGCGAGATGACGCGAGATGACCCGAGACTGCCTTCTGTAGGCACCATCTTCCTGGCCACCGACGACCCCTCGGTCGCGGCGGAGGCGATGACGGCTTCCACGGACGGCTTCGACGTGCTCACTCTGCGCGAGGAGCGCCGACTGCGGGAGTCGGGGACGTGTCCAGGACATGTCCAGGACGTGTCTGTGAGATGGCCGGTAGGACCGCCGGGCGGTGCAGGAGTCGCACCGCAAGAGCGAGCGGCGGAGGGAGGGCGACGAGATGCTGCACCTGCAGCTGCTCGACCTCGCCCTGCTCTCCCAGGCGAGGGGGCGCCGAGATCACGCCGAGATCACGCCGAGATCACGCCGAGGTTGCGCCGAGGTTGCGCCGAGAGCGAGGTCGAGAGCCGAGGCTGATGAACCTCGGCTTGCTGCCGACTCTCAGCCTCGCGTCCGCTCGCAGGCCGACTTGTTGGCGGGCGTCTTCGCCTCCACCTTCGTCAAGATGGCGCTCCAGCTCGGCGCCGCCTCCGAGTGCACGACGCTGACGGCCTCCCGTGCGCATGCCCAGGACACGCCCACGACGTGTCCGAGGCATGTCCACAGGTACGTGACACTCGACACCTTCCCGTGGTGCCCGCTGCTGCGCTGCTATTGGGGCTGGCGAGACCTCTGCCACAACTGCGAGGTGGGCGATGCTGCGCCAGCCTAGCCCTCGGGCTTGCCCTCGGGCTTGCGCGCGTGCGAGCAGCCTCTCCGCACGGGTGCAGCGGTGAGTAGGTCTGCGCCCACCAAGCGGGAGGCGGCGAGGCGTGCTTCAAGCGGGGGCGCCGCCGCAACCGCCGCCGGCTTCGTCGCCGCCCGAGATGGCCCGAGATGACCCGAGTCCCCCGAGACGCACAGGTACCACACCGCCGCCGGCTTCGAGGCGGTGCGCACGGGCGCACCGCCGCGGCGTCGGCCCTTCGCCGCCTTCCTCACTCTGGTCGGCGACGCGGCCACGTGCCCAAGCTTCGCCGACCACCCGCTCGCAGCAACATCGTGCGAGACTGCCCGCAACTGCCCGCGATTGGAATGTCGGCCGCTCCCCGCAACGCGTCCAGGATTGCAGGGCACGTGCATCCCCCCCCTCCTCCTCCCGGCTGTCCTCAGGTACGCGGCGCCCGTCGTCGGCGACAAGTTCGCGCCCGAGCCGACCTCGAAGCCCAACGACGTGTGCGCCGTGCGACGCTCCCGCGGCGGCGCTGCCGGCCGCCCCGCCCGTGTGCGCGGCATGCCCGGCTGCAGCTGCGGCTTCCGGCGGCTTCGCGGCGTGGACAACGTGGCCGCAGCGCACTCCAAGCCGTACTACGGCTACGGCGCCCAAAGCACCCCCTCCCGCCCCCCTGCGACACTCCGTCGAGCGCGGCCCCGACTGGCGTAGGCGTCGCGCGCGTGGTGTGGCCGGCCGGAGAGGCGCCGTCTCTGGCCGAGTGCGAGCGGCGTTGCTGTGCCGAGCCCACCTGCCACTCGGTGCCTCGCGCGCACACACTCCCTCCAGCACGGACACACCCACCAACTGAGGCTGCGCCGCATCTGCATCTACATCTAGCCGCCAGAGCCCGCAGCACCCTCTGATCCGGCCGCGCTGAACCCCCTCCCCTCCCCCCCGCCCCTCCCACACACCCCTTCTGCCGCAAGGTGACCTACGAGCGCAACTCCTCCACTTGCACAGCTGGCCTCGCCATTGCTCACGGCGCGCGGCCGAGCGATTGGTGCTGGCGCCCGCGGCTGGCGGCGCCGTCGACCGTCACTTCGCTCCGCCTGCCGGGCGGGTGGGAAGCGGAGGCGGTCGCCGCCGCGGGCAAGGTGCTCGCGGCGACCAATTTGGTGCGGCGCGGCGGCCGCGCGAGTGGTGCACGGCTCTTCCACAAGGGGTGGAACCGTGGCCATTGGTCCGACCCCGCCGGCCACTCTCACCCGCTCGAGCGCACACTCACGCCAAAGGGGTGCGACGGCGGCGGCGGCGGCACTCGGGACGTGGTCGTGTCGGACCTCGTCACGGACGCTGTGCCTCACTACGACAAGCGACCAGGCAAGGGGCTGAGGGTTGCCCCGGCAGAGCCGTCGTGTCCCGAGACCGATCGAGAGAGTTAGAGCTCAAATCGTGGACCCTTGTTACGCAAGATTAGTCTAGTAGCGCGTCGGTTGCAGCGTTCCACCACCGCGCCTTCGCCCCTCCGCCCTCGCCTTGTCGCCACCGCCCCCTGTCCACCGGTCACCGCACACCGGCGGCGCACCGCGCGCGCCCGCACACGTCCGACACCGGGCAATTTTAGCCCCCCGCCCGCGCTACCCGGTTGCACTCGTGCGACACGTAGCGGGGGGGTAAACATAAGTAGTCCCGCGAGGTGTGAATTTGGCCGCCCAGTTAGCTCCCCCTTTTTAGCAAGGCCAAGGGCCATTTTTTCGTGGCAAAACTCGTCACAAGCTTTGGCGCCAAAGCAGATTTCACGGGCGTTCGAAGCGACTGGCTCAACCGGGCATGCTTTGCTTCCTTCGAGCTCACTTGAGTGCCGCTCGACTGGCCGATGAAGAGCGACCCGTACGACGCGCACTTGTCGTCCTTCCCTCCTCGCCACATGACGGCCGCCCCGCGACACCGACAGTCGCGCTCCGCACGCCTTCGAGGTCAGCTGCGGCCGAGCGACGATCGGCTCGTCTCCGATCGCTGGGCGCGGTCACTCTCCGGCCCATCACCCGCCTGCCCGATCACCTGTCCGCCTCGCCGCGCGCGGGCCGCTCGCCTGCTCGCCACCGGCACCGCCGCCGCGCTTCCCCGCGCCGCCACGCTTCCCTGCACCTGACCGCGCTCGAGCTGCGCAGACAGACGGCGCGCTCTGGCAAGACAGAGCAGCGGCCGCCCAGGCGGTCGCTGCTCCGCCCCGTCCGAATCCGTCCGCCCGCGCGTGCCGCTGCCGCCGCCGCCGCCGCTCCACCGGTGCCCGTGTGTCGTGAGAGTTGCATTGTGTGTGTATGTCGTATGTGTGTGGACTTATGTCACACTTGACGGCCTCTATCTATGATTAGTAGACCGGCACTCGGATTTGGATGGTAGCGGGGGCCCGCCGGAGGCTGGTTACTGGTTGTAAGGCGGAAAGATGCGCGCAGCCCCCCCCCCCCCCCCCCCCGATCAAAAAAAGCAGACTCGCTCAAAAAAGAAAAAGTGGTTTCGTCGCCGCCTCGTTTATTGGGGGAATCAGAGCAGGTCTCGAGCAGCCAACAACAGCACCGGCGTGTGTGCACGCCCCCCATCATGGCGACGCAGGCTCAGCCGGCGCTGGCTGCTGGGGCGGAGGATGGCGGGCGGCGTGGTCTCGGCCTCAAGCGGGAGGCCCCCTCCGTTTGGGAGATGCAGGCCGCGCTCAGCTTCACATGCGAGCATCAGGCGGGAGGGGCGGCGCCGGCGCAGGCGGCGGGGTCGGCATCCGGCGACTACAGCTCGGCGCAGATGGTCGCCGCGGCAGCAGACGCCGGTCTGACCATTGCGCTGACGCGCGACCCGCCCTGCGCCGTGTACGAGGGCGAGGGCGCCGCAGCAGGAGGAGGGCTGCTGTACGCGGCGTCTTCGAGCTCCTCCGGTTTGGCCTCTGGGACAGGCTCGGGGCTGCCCACGCCGCGGGGTGCGCCCAAGGAGGGTTGGCAACGGGAGTGGCAGGTGGACGGTGCGCTCGGCGCGCCGCCAGCAGCAGCGCCCCTCGCCGACGGCGCCCTGCTGCAGCGCGCGCGCCATTGCCATTGCGCGTGTCTTGATGAAAGCCCTCGCTCTTCTGTAGGGAGCGATCTGATGCACGGCTCATCGTCCGGCTCGTGGCCGCGCATTCGACGGCAGCGCACCCCTTCAGGCTCCGTCAACACGCTCACGGTGGGAGACGTGCAGGCTCTCTGCGGTGGCGCGGGCGGCGCGGGGAGCAGCGGCGAGGCAGGCGGCGGCGGGGACGACGCTTGCAGCAGCTTTGGCGCAATCGGCGGTGGTGGCGGAGGGCACCGGCGCAGCCGGTCTGACGGTGGGCCACAGCTCGCCCCGGCCGCCAGCCCCACACCGCTTCCACGGCCTGATCGTGCGGCGGATGGAGAGGCGGCGGACAGCTCTTTCCCAGGGAAGTTGACATCGACACCCGAGGTGCGCAAGCTCACCTGTACCTGTCCTGGGCTGGCTGCCACCACGATTCAAAACGGCCGCTGCTGCCTAGGTGGACATGTCCTTTGTTGGCGCCATGTTCTCCTCGCCGCCCCAGCCGAGCCGGCCATCGCCCCCAAGCCCGCTTGCCGGTGGAGATGCCACCTCGTCCTCCGATGCAGACGCCGACGCAGACGCCGAGATGGGCCTCGCCATCGCCGTTGCCTCGGTGGGGCCTCACCGAGCCAGAGGAGGAGGGGGGGGGGGGGGGGGGAGCGACAGCCAGCACTTCGTCTCCCGTAGGTCGATTGCGTCAGCGACGCCGGCGTCCACGACAACGCTCCGGGGGCGGCGAGCTCGCATCCTGGCGGACCGGCAGACGAGAATGCCCTCGGTCGCGAGGACTCCCTCGGCGACCTTCCCTCGCAAATCTCTTCGTCGCTGCAGCTACCGGCGGCGGGGGTGTCGGGATCCACCGGCGTTTTCGGGGTGCTGCGCGAGGAGGCTCCAACGTCTTCCGCGTTCCAGGCCGGTGCTTGCGTGAACAGCAACGGCGTGCAGCAGTATGGCTCTGGCGAGCTGTTCTACATCATGGAGCAGGCCGCCAGCCGGCCCCTCGATGAGAGCGTGCAACCGCTGCAGCCGCCCCACTTTCGCCAGGCCGCTCTGCACACCGACGAGAGCGCTGTCGGGAACTTGGTGCAGGGCGATGCGCACAACATTGAGCACGGCTATGCCGCGCCGCCGGGGGCCGCCCCGTGCCATGGCTACGGCGCCGTTTCGGCGTACGACAGCGGCTGCGGCGCGTCAGGCTACTACGGCGGCACCACGTACCACGAAGGCGGAGGCAGCTACGCGGGCGCGGGCTACTACATGGACGCCAGCGGCACCCCGGTTCCGATTACGTTTCCGGTGGGCTCGGCGGGCGGCGACGAGGGCTACTATGGCTATGCAGGCCGAGATGGCTACGCGTACGGAGACGTGGAGTATGCGGACGTGCCCCACGGCTACGCGCCGCAGGCTTACGACGGCGCCGGAGACCACGCAGCGGCAGCGGGGTGCGGCAATTGGGCGATCGCGGACGGGAACGGCGGCTACCAAGCGGCTGAGGGCGGTATGTCGTTCGCCAATGCAGCTGTGTTGGGCTGCCCCGAGGCGTACCCAGGCGCCTCTGCGATCTCGTACCCGCCGGCATCGACCGGGTACGACTTTTCCGGTTCGTCGTACACCGCGCCGCCGCTCGCTGGCGCCGCCACTTCTCTGGGCCACGCCGTGCAGACCGCTGTCCCGGCCACTGGCGGGGGCTATCGCGTGGTCGCACAGGCGGTGCCGCTTGGCCACTGGCAGACTCCGCAGCAGCCGATGCCAGCGAAGCCAGCAGGCTCGTCCGGGCGCGGCAAGAGCGGCCAACGCAACGGTCCGGAGCGCAAGGAGTGGACGGCTGAGGAGGATGATGTCATCCGAACCGGCGTCGCCACTCACGGCCTGCGCTGGCGCAAGATTGCCCAGATGCTGCCGGGCCGCTCGGACGACGCGGTGCGCAACCGGTGGAACCGGCTCAAGGGCGAGGCGTGGGAGGTGGGCGATGGTGGGATGGCGCTGTCTGGCGCAGTGGAGGGGGGCGGGGCACAGCGCAAGCCGGCGCACCCCAAGTCCTCGGCGGTGGACGGGGCTGACGGCGTTTTCAAGGAGGCGAGGGTCTCTTGGACTCGCGCGGAGGATGCGATCATTGTCAACTCAGTTGCGGAGGTTGGGCACAAGTGGTTCCAGATTGCGCAACGGCTGCCTGGCCGCACGGACCACGCCATTCGCAACCGCTACCACAGGTTGCAGGCGATGGTACAGGACAAGCGGCCGTCTGATTCTGAGCTTGAGCCGGCGAACCCGCCAACGGTGGCAGTTTGAGATGTGCAACGGTGTGGGGGAAGGGGGGGGGGGGGATTGTGGCGTGCATGAAGGCATGACGGCATCTCTCGCTCCTTGCCGACAGACAGCGGTCGCTCGGGAATGCGATAGCAACTATTTCGCAATCAATGGGCCCTGAGCTCGGGGGCGGGGCGACTCGCTCGTGGAGGCATGGAGAACAGGGGGGATAGCATAGAGAGGGGTGGGGTCGCGGTACACAGCGGGCCGCAGCGGACTCATTGGAGCGCGTGTCTATGTGTTGGTCTGGGTCGCTCGCGCGCTGCGTGCCAGGGGGGGAGCGCGGCGCGAGTGTTCACTGGAGGGAACTCGAGATACCGCGAGAACTCGTGCGCGTCCGCGCGAAGAGAGTCGTTCTGTTGAGTGTACTTTCAACGTATATGATGGCTACATTTCGGAAGCACACGTACACGTAACTCATAAACTACGCACACTCACGACTCTTTCCGCCGCTTCTCCTTCTTGTGCTTCTCCTTCTTCTCCTTTTTCCGCTTCTTGCTGGCGCCTTGTTTCTTCTTCTTCTTCTCGCGCTTCCGCTTTGAGTGGCCTTCTCTCGGCTCCTCCTCGGCCGACTCGTCCGAAGAGCTGCTGCCTACCGCCTCCGACTGCTGTTGCTGCTGCGACAAAATGGGCGATGGCTCGCGCGGTGGCAGCGATGGCGCGCCCGGATTTGGCAAGTGCGCCATTCCTTGCTCCGACGACCCCGGCGCCGCCTCCGCCTCCCTTACGGCGGGCGGTGCCGAAGACCGTTGTGCAGCCGACGCCGGCGCGGGCGCGTCCTCCTCGGAGTCTGAGTCGAAGATCGCACGGAAGAGGTCGAGAGGTGGGCGCTCCTACAGCCGAGAGAGGTCGCGCTCCAACGTGTGTGCAGCCCACGGAGGGCCAGGGGGGGGCGGTCTCGCCTCAGGGCCGTCGTCGGCATCCTCCTCCATCGCAGCCGACGCGGCGGCGGCGGCGGGGCTGGGAGCGGGCGCTGCAGCGCCAGCCGACAAAGTTCCTTTCGTAGTGCCATCCGAGGAGGAGGCGCCGCTGAGGTTAGCGAGCAGCGCGTCCGCTGCGGCACGAGCCTGCCCGTGCTGCGCTTGCGGCGGCGGCGGCGGCGGCGGTGGCGGCGCTTGCCGTGCGCCGCGAGTGCCAGTCGCAGTCGGGGCATCGAGCTGGGGGAGGGGCAGCAACGCATCGTTGAATGTCATCGTCGACTCCCAACTCCGCTTGCCGACGCCACCGCCCCCGCGCCCCTCCTGCCGCGCCGGCTCTGCGACAGCAGGGACAGGCACGTTGAGCCGCTTGCACAGCAGCGGCTCAGGGGCCCACGGCTCCGTCTTGCGTGTGAGCTTCCCAAACATCCCAGCGGCAGCTGCCTGCGCCGCCTCGCTCCGCACCGGCTCCGGCGGCGGCGCGGTGGGCACAGCTGGCGCAGCGGGCGCGGCGGCCTTCGCCCCGCCCCCCTTGCTCATCCCGGCCGGCATCGAGATGTGCATCGACGACGAGGTGAAGCGCTCCGAGATGACGGAGTGCTTGGGGCGCGAGAAGAAAGCCGCCACCTTTGCAAACTCTCGCCCCTCCTCCGCCTACAGCGCGGCGCGGCTGGGCTCGAGACGACCCACCTCTTCCGTCTCACGGCGGGCGGGGCCGTGCCAACCTCTGCCCACCCCTGGCCCTCGCGGCTCGACTGCAGGAAAGCTTCGAAACGCGCCTGCTTGGGCGGGTCGGCTGCGTAGGGCTTGCAGTCGTCGGCGAGCTGCCTAGAAGACAGAAGCACGGCCTGCTGAGCGGGGGAAAGGGGGCGGAGGGGCTGCAAGCACTCGCGTGGCTGCCAGCCGCCGGCGGGGGCTGCTGGCCCGCCCATTCCTCCCCCATGCGGCGGAGGAGGCGGCGGCGCTCCTCCGGCCGGCGGCGGCGGCGGCCCTTGCCTCGCAAAATGAGCGGCGGCGGCGGCGGCGCCGGCGGCCGCCGCACCGCCCGCTGCGGCCAGGTCCATCCGTGGCGGCGGCGGCGGCGGCGGCGGCTGTCTCCGCTGCTCACGCTGCGGTGGCGGCGGCGGCGGCGGCGGTGCGCGGAGGTGCTGGAGGTGCTGCCAGAGACGAAGCATGTCCCGCTTGCCGACGAGGCCCCAGACGGCGCTCAAGTCTGCGCTCGGCGGCGGCGGCGGCGGCGGCGGCACCCCCGGCGGTGCGGAAGGCACCCCTGGGGGTGGGTGCGGCGGCGGCGGCGGGTGCGGCGCCGACGGCGGCGGCGGCGGCGGCGCGCCCTCGCGCGACGGCGCTTTTGGCGGCAAAGCTTGCCGTTGGAGGGCCTCGACGAGGGCGGGCGGCAAGTCCGAGGGCGGCGGCGGCGGCGGCGGGAAGACGTGCCGCTCGTCAAACTCGCGCGGCACGCGAGGCGGCTCGTACCACGCCTGGCAGGCGGCACGGGGACGGCTGAGGCGCGGCTCCACCGATGCCGGCTCCACCGATGCCGGCTCCACCGATGCCGGCTCCACCGGCCGGTGCGTGCTCGATCACATCTCGGCGGCGTATCTCGGCGAACATCTCGCCTCACGCGGGGAGGCTATATCTCGGCCACATCTCGGCCACATCTCGGCTGTGTGTCCTCACCTCACGCGGGGGCGGCCGTTCCGCCGGCACAAACCCACGCAGCGAGTACTTTCCAATGGCGGGCTTGACCGAGGCGGGCTTGCGCCGGCCGCCGCCCTCGAGCCGACGCAGCTCGCGCCAGGAGCTCCCGCCCTCCTCCGCCTCGTCGCCGGGCCCGTCCAGCACAGAGTCGTACAGCGCCATGTCGTCGCCCGGCTGCGAGTCGAAACGGCCGTCGTCGTCGTCGTCGTACCCGGACGGCAGCGCGCTGCGCAGCGCCTTGGCTGGGGCGAGCGCGCGCGCGTAGCGGCCGGCGCCGGGGGCGGCGGCGGCGGCGGCAGCGGCAAACTCGGGCGCGCCTCGCATCGCATCGTACCCCACACCGCAGAGGTCGTTCTTTGGCGTGAAGGCCACCGTAGCGACTGCTCGAGGAGCGAGCGTAACGCCCGGCGCGGCGCCCAACACCGCGTCGAGGTCGTCCGCCTCTGCGGCGGCGGCGGCGGCGCTCCCGCCGCCGGCGCTCGCCGAGGCGGACGGGCCGGGGCTGCACCCGTACACCTTCCTCTTCGCCCCGGCCGCCGGGGCCGCCGTGCGAGGACCGACACCGAAGCCGTCGCGCCAGCCCATCGCACGCAGCATCCGCCTCCCGACCGACTCAGCCTCGCCCGAGCGGTGGAGCAGCTCGCCGATGCGCTCGCCCAAGTCGGCAACGCTGCCGCCCGCCCGCGACGGACCCGCCGCCGCCGCCGCCGCCGCCGCAGGAGCCGCGCGCCGTGCTGCTGCGCCCGCGGCGGCCGGAGCAGCGCCGCTGAAGCCGCCTCGCGTGACGACGCGCCTCTCCGCCGCGTGCCCGGCCAGGTCCTCGTCGTCCATGAAGTCCTCGACGCGCTGCGCCACGCCCTCCGTCCGCGCGCCCCGGCTCGACTTCCACTCCGACGGCGCCCAGCCCTCCTTGCTCCCCACGCTGTTGAAGTAGCCCGCCGACCAGCCGCCGGTGAAGGCGCCGTGGAAGTTCCTGCCCATGTAGCCGCCGTCGGGAGCCACGGTATGCACCTCCTGCTCGTGCTCCTTCTCAAACTTGGCCTGCTTCTCGGGGTCGGCAGCGCGCAGGCGGCGGTCTCCCGGCCGCCGGGGCTCGTCATCATCCGAGATGTGCGTCCCGAGGAGGTCGTCCGAGTCGGAGGCCGTCTCGCTCTCCTGGTCCTCCTCGTCGTCTTCAACCATGGTTGTGAGCGGCGCCGTGCCCTGGGGAACGAAGCGCGGCATGTTTCCACGGCGCGCGCGGCGCTCGAGGAGGGCGCTCCGAGAGGCGGCCGCGGGCGAGCCAAAGAAAAAGACCGTAGCGAAACGGCTACAGCGGCCGTCAGGCGACGCTCGGCTGGCGAATAAAAGAGCGAATCAGGGAGAACCGGAGCCCTGGGAATGCGGGCGGTGGAACCCCGGGACGGGAAGCTGAGTGAGGACCTGTGTACGTGCGTGGTGTACAGTGTCATGTCTACTAGCTCCGAGTAGAGGGGGCGTTCTGAAGTTAAGGGGAAACCCGGTACACGGAACCAACCCTCGGAGACCCGTGTTTACTTTAAGGCCCTTGCCCTGCGAACGCGCACCCCCGGGGCTAGGGCTCTCTTGCCCGCAACCCGATGCCAATCATCCGGCCCGCTGGGTGCGCTTCTGAGCTCCCCGGCCCTGGATGTGCGGTTACTGATTGCACTCCAAGTGCTCCAAGGCGAGACCTCGACCGGGCCGTCGACGCACTCGGAAGCGGTGGAGCCGGGAGAAGCTGGCGGAGATGAAGGGCGGCAGCGGAGGAAGCGACACCAACAACGAGGGAAACGACCATACCGGTCGTCGCATAACGCTCGGGAGACGAGCAAGAGGGCGATCAAGGAGGTTGAGTGAGACCCTGCTCCCTGGGAAGGCGAGGGGTGAGCCCTCAGGCGGGGGGGACTACTCAAACGCCGACGCAAGTGAGTGTAGAGTGGTGGTGTGGGGCGTGCAGTATGGTGTTCATTAGCTCCGAGTAGAGGGGGCGTCCTGCAGTTAAGGGGAAACCCGGTACGCGGGGCTAACCCTCGGAGACCCGTGTTTACTTTAAGGCCCTTTCCCTGCGAACGCGCACCCCCGGGGCTAGGGCTCTCTTGCCCGCAACCCGATGCCAATCATCCGGCCCGCTGGGTGCGCTTCTTAGCTCCCCGGCCCTGGATGTGCGGTTACTGACTGCACTCCAAGTGCTCCAAGTGCGGGTGTGCTGCTCTGCTGCTGCTGCACAGCTTGAGGGCGATTCATCGATTACAGCAGGGAGGTAAACGGGTTGTGCACACCGGCGCCAACATGACAGAACACACGTTCGAAGAAGGGCGAACCAAGACGGACATCCGAGTGGAGGGGAAGGCCAGGACGCTCTACCTCGGAGGGAAGAAACCGGCGCAAGATAGCGGCACACACCTGGGGTCGAGAGAGGAAGGGGACAATCGAGTGGTAAAACTGGAGGGGACCCCGGGCCTCGACACGAATGCGACATGGGAGGAGGAGATACCCGAGCAAAATAAGATCACGGCGGACGCGGTGAGAAAGATGATGGAGAGGCAGGAGAGGGAGCGACAGGAGGGGAGCCTAGGGGCGGATGAGACGTTGTTCCCAGAGGGGGCGCCCCAGAGACACATAAACTGGCGGGACGAAGGCTACGAGCTCTTTGTGGGATACGGACACGGGGCGAGCGCGATCAGAGTAGGGGAGCTACAGGAGGACCCCCTAACGCGCTTCTTGCTCCGATACGACGAGAGTTTGAGACGGGGGGAGAGCTGAGAGACGGCAAGGGAGCGCAAATCAAGGTGGGAAAGGACAGCGAGCCGCTCCGATCCGTCGGGGAAGGGACGAGCTCTGAACGTGAAAGTAGCACAGACATGCCTCGCGCTGCACGTCTCACACCAGTTCACACACTTCGCGGCGACGGACGGAGGAAAGGACCATGAAGACAAAATGGCGGAGGATGGAAAGTACGTGCCGAACCCTAAAGCCGTAGGGGGTGGCGTACGGCGTGTTCGAAGAGGACCGGACACGATTCGAAAAGAGCGTCCCGAGAGAGACGCACAGGTAAAGGATCCCAACGGAATCGGACCCTGTGAAGAAGGGGAGATACGGACAGCGTTTGGGGCGGGAATGTGGGGGGAGGAAAGCTGCCGAGCACGTGGGAGGTGATAGACGCGGAGATGTACGCGAACTCGCATACCTTCGCAAAATGGCGAGCGCGAGCGCGACGCACAGACGCGACGGTGCTTAGTACTATGCGACTGCAAACCTGCGCTGCAGCAGATTGAGAAGCGCTGGCGCATACCCGACATGCGACAAGGAGTTGCCTCGAAATTGCATCATGGTGGCTGTACGAGCAGCTCTCTCGCGTGCGACAGTCTGTCCTTAACTCTCACTCAGTCTCGCCACGCGGCGGACAGATTGTGATCGACGGAATACTATCCTGAGAGCCACCCGAGCAGCTCTCACGTCACGAGCGCTGCTGCTCGGCTGCATCCGCGGCCATCCTGGCAGCGGTCGCCTTGGCCTTCGAAGCAGCCGCAACAGCAGCGCTCGCCTCTGCAGCGGCCGTCGCGTCCGCGAGCGCCGCGTTGGCCTTCTCCAGCGCTGCCCTGGCGTCCGCCTGCGCCTGCGCCGCCGCCGCCCGAGCCACCTCTGCCACCGCCGCCGCCTCCTCGTCCGCCTCTGCCTCCTCCTCCGCCTCGTCCGCCTCAGCGTCCAAGCGCACCGCCTTGGCCACCGCTGCCGACGCCGCTGCCTGGCTCGCCGCCGTGATGCCGAACCGGATCCTCTCCTCGTGACACTTCTCGAGAAGCCTGATCATTCTCTCCTCCTCGGCCTTCTTTGCGGCCTCAGCTGCCTCCGACGGCGCCTCGGCACCCTCCTCCGCCTCCTGCGACGGCCCAGCCGCGCTCGCCTCTCCGCCCTTCTTCTTCTTCTTGCCCTTCTTGCCCTTGGCGCGCTTCTCAGCCTCGACCTCCGCCAGCAGCTCGTCGGCGTGCCGCGCCGCCTCCTTCTCCTCCGCCGCCCTCTGCGCCTCCCTCTCCGCCGCCCCCGCAGCCCACGCCGCCTCCTTCGCCGCCTTCTCGGCCGCCGCCTTGGCCGCCGCGTGCTCCTCGAGGGCGCGCGCGCACTCGGCGTGGCCCTTCACCTTGGCCCACTGCAGCGCGGTATTGCCGCTATTAGTGCACAGCGTCATATCTGCGCCCGCCCGCAGCAAGCAGAGCAGGGCGGCGGGGTGGCCGTTGAAAGCGGCCCAAATCAGCGCGGTGTCGCCGTTGCTGGTCTGCAGGTTGATCTCCGCGCCGTGCCGGATCAGCGTGTCGACAACCCGCTCGTGGCCTTTGTAGGCGGCGTCCATCAGCGCGGTGCAGCCGGTCGTGCAGCTTCTCTGATTGATCTCCGCGCCGTGCCGCAGTGCCAGCTCGACCAGCTTCTCGCGGCCGTTCACGGCGGCGGTCATGAGCGCGGTGCCACCGTTGCTGGTGTGCAATGAGACATCCGCACCGCGCCGCAGAAGCGCCTCGGCCAGCCCCTCGTGACCATTCATCATTGCGAGCAGCAGGAGCGTCACGCCGCTCGCATGAGTCCCGCAACCAAAGAGGAACTCGAACGCCGCGTCGACCCACCCGCCGCGGTCGAGCCACGCCAGCACCGGCGGCTCGTCTCCTCGCCCAGCCGCAAGCACGACCTCCTTTGGCACCGCCTCGCTGCCCGGCGCGGCCTTTGCGCCCTCGCCGCTCGAAGAAGAGGCCGCGGCACTGGCGCCCGCCTCCGCCTCGCCTGCGGGTGCGCCGCTCGTCCCCGCGCCGCCCGCCTCGACCGATGATGGCGCCTTGCTGCGCGCCGCCATTACCTCCACGAGATACGTCCTGAAAGCCTCAACGCACTCGGCGTGGCCCTCCTCCTTGGCAATCTGCAGCGCCGTCTTGCCGCTAGAGCGGAGCGTCATGTCTGCGCCCGCCCGCAGCAAGCGGAGCACCACGGCGGGACGGTTGCCGAGGGCGGCGAACATCAGAGCGGTGTCGCCGTCGTTGGCCTGCAGGTTGATCTCCGCGCCGTGCCGGATCAGCGTGTCGACCACCCGCTCGTGGCCTTCGTAGGCGGCGGCCATCAGCGCAGTGACGCCGGTCGTGCTTCTCTGATTGATCTCCGCGCCGTGCCGCAAAGCCAGCTCGCGGCCGTTGGCGGCGGCAAGGCACAGCGCGGTGCCACCGTCGCTCTTCTGCAACGAGACGTCCGAGCCGCGCCGCAGAAGCGCCTCGGCCAGCTCCGCGTGGCCATTGGCCATCGCGATCATCAGCAGCGTCATTTCGCTCTCACGAGAGCCGTCCAAAAAGGTGTACTCGAACGTCTCGTCGACCCTACCGCCGCCGTCGGTCCACGCCAGCACCGCTCCCGCTTGGCCATCCGTGGCGGCCTCCCGAATGCTTGCAGGGACGTCGCCGCCGCGCTTCGTCGACGGAGGAGGCGGTGTGCGGCGTCTGGCGCCGGTGCGGGCTGGCGCGGCGGACATACACACATGTCTGAAATGAAGAGAGAAAAAGAATTTGCGCCATTCTGCGAGTCGAGGCGTTGTTAACAGCGCCTGAACGCATGGCGTTCAGGCGGCACTTCTCTCGCGTCGGCTCCGCCGAGCGCTGCACAGAGACCATCTTCACTGACCACCAACGACAGGTGTGCGACTACGCGCTCGTCTACGCGGAGAAGAAGAACGACGGCGAAGCGCCGTACTCGGTCTCCTTCACCGCGACGCAGAGCGGCGACGTCATCGTACAGCTGCACCCGCACTCGCAGCTCGAGCGCGCCGTGCGCCACGAGCGGCAGGCGCAGGCCACGGAGCCGCCTGCGAGCGCGAGCCCTGCGGCGCGGCCCGCCCCTGCCGCCGCGCCGCCAGCCGCGGAGCCGGCGCCCAAGACGTACGCCGCCGCAGCCGCATCGCAGCCGCAGGGTGCCACCGCGGGTGGCCAGCCCGCCGCGCCTGCGGGCCCGGCCGCCGCCGCGCGCGTGCCGCCGCCGCCCAGCGGCGGCGGAGTGCGCGGCTGCTCCTTCACTGTCCCTAACCCGGGCAGGAAGCGTGGGCAGCAGCAGCGCGGCAAGGGCCGCGGTGCCAGGGGCCGTGCCGATGCTGGACCCCGTCTCGTTGACAAGAACGCGCTGTCCGCGCGCGGCAGCGGGCCCTCGCGCCAGTCGCGCTCGCCGTCGCCCGACTCTCCGCCCGCCAAGCGGGCCGCCTCCGCTGACTCGTCCGGCTATGAAACCGATACGCCGGACGAGGTGCAGCAGGAGGCGGTCCGCAGGGTATGCGGCGCGCTCGGCATGAGGGAGCAGTTCGAGGCGGCGATGGCGGCGGGCGAGCTGCTCGAGGTGCTCGAGAGCTTGCCGCGAGGGGCGGTCGAGGCCTCTGTCCGACAGATGCGGGGTTACAACCGCACGGGCGAGTGGCCAGAGCCCATTCTCACCAGCCCTGCCCCGCAGCGCGGCCGCTCGCCAAGCCCCGTCGATGAGTGGTCAGATGGTTAGTGCCCGAGAGCGAGGGGTCCGGGGGGGAGCACAAACATAGGACGCCCAGCCTTGCCCTCGTGCCGCCGAGTGCGTATCCTATGCGAGAGAGCCCTCTCCGCGCGGCGATGCGCCCTCCCCCCTCGCTTTTGCAAAATCCTGCAAAGGTGGGGACGTGTCTGTCCTCGACCCAGCCCTAGCTTGGGATGTCCGTTGTATTTATTTATTTATTGTTTCTTTTTGGGGTTGTCGCCGGGAGCTGCAGAGCCGTGCCTCCGCCGTCGCCCCCGAGTGCTATTGTCGCCCCTCTGCCCTTCGCCGCAGAACTAGCCGATGCGCCTAGACGCGTCGCGGCGCGTCGCCGGCGTTGACGCGGCGCGGCGCGCTGGCCGCACTGTCGCTGCTGCCGGCGCTGCTGCCGTCGAGCCCGCCTCTGCCCTCTTCGGCCTCGAATGCGCATCGCAAAGGGATGCCAGAAGCGCAAGGAACTTTTTTTGTTTTTCCTCAGCTTGCCGAACGAAGGAGGAAAGAATCCTCGCGGCGCAACGAGTTCCGCGACGGACGGGAGGGTACGCGAGACGTCGCACGCGACGCTTGCGCTTTGCACATGGGCTGCGCTGCCTCGAACCTCGAGGGCTCGATATTTGAATACAACGATTTTCTCCACCCGGAGAACTACGCGAAGTCAGACAAGCGGCTGCTCAAGCTGATGAATTTGGACGAGCTCAAAGACACGCAGAACCCGGTGCGCGTCAATGGATGGGAAACATCGTGAGCAAAGCATGAGGCAAGAGTTTATGACATAGGCGGGCGGCGTCGCCCTGCACGTGGCCGCCCAGTACAGCAAATCGGAGACCGTAGTCAAGGCAATGATCGAGATGTACCCCGATGCGCTCACGATACAGAACAACGTGTGCCGCCACTTCCTGTCTCAATTGTCACGCCCGTGTTAGCGAGCGCTCCTTACAGTCCCGCCCTTCAACATGTTTCTGCTCAGGAGGGGAAGACGCCAGGTGAAATTGCCGAGGAGCTCAACCCTGATATCGCGGAGCTATTCAAGTGAGAGCGTGGCACATGGTTCGCTGGGCATTGTTTGGCCTGTGCTCTTCCTTGGCGAGACGAGACGAGCGTGCTCCCGTTGCCGACTGTGACGGCGCGCACTCTGCGTCGGCTCTCTTGTGCGTGTGTCGACTACACACATCGGCCCGACAACGGGTAAACTACGCATTCGTAAGGCATGCAGGGGACATAGCCATAGGGGTTGCAACCTATCGCGACACGCGAGCGTCTGGCCTCTGAGGCTTCTGTCAGGAGGGCTGTCAGATGGGGCCCTCGTCACGTGGATCGTGGTGTCGGTGCATTCTTCATATTTCGTGACGAGAAGGCCCTGCCCACATGCACATGAGACGTATCAGAATACCGGCGGATGATACTACTGTCACTCCAGTGTGGTAGAGTAACATGGGGCAACATGGCATGCCCACATGCACATCTCTTCTCCCACCGACCCACCGTTCTCTCGCGTCTCCCGGGCGCGCCGAGAACCGCCGGCGCCGCGGGCCGCGTGGATCTGCGAAAGGTCTTTTCTCGCAGCTGCGCGCCTGCGCGAGACACTTGAGCACTTGAGCACTGGATAGGGTCGATTCCGCGTGGTACGGGACCCCTCGATCGTCTCGCCCTCCCTCACTGGTATGTTCATTGGGGGGCGCGAGACATGCTAGAGATGCTTTCTCGGAGCGGGGCATCCAAAACAACAGGGCGGAAGGGAGGGGTGACCATACGCGCAGCGCAGGAGGGGTGCCCCTAAGGGGGCACAAAGGTAGCTCAAAGGGGAGTGAACAAGACGCCGCACAGGCGACGTGCACGCTCGCCTCCTGCGCTCGCCGCGTGTGCTCGCTCTCTCCCTCCCCTTCTTTGCTTGAAGCAGCGTTGGAGCCTCTGGGCCGGCGCGGGGGCCCCAGAGGGTGTCCATGCGGGGGGGAGATGGGGTCCCATGGCCCGCCGCAGGCGCCGATTTTTTGGATTGTTTTTCTTTTTTGTGATTTTTTACTTGTTTTCATGGGAATTCGGCGTACTTGCGGCCATGCTATCACGCCTTGCGACAGCCTGTCGGCGCAGCTGACCGTGCCATGATGCACAATTGATCACCTGCATAGCTCGCGGCCTTAGTATCAAGCATTCAGTGACGACCTGATCGTACGGCCAGTAGGAAGGTGTCCTTCCATCGTGTGCACGCTTCTGGCGCAATGCGCGTCACCTCGGATTGGCTGCTGGCACTCTCGAGGCTATGCCTACACAGCCTCGCGCGCATGGGCAGTCAAGAGGGACCACGCACCTTCTCAGGACAGCGCCGGTGCCTCTCTCTTGGACCGGCAAACTTGGTGGTCTCGTGTCACCAATGTGGGACCAGTGCGGCATCGCGCCATCGACAGCTCTGAACTGCGCCTCACCACTGACCGGGAAGGCCGCCAAGTGGGCCAGCACAGGTCGCACATTGTGGCAGCAGTCAGCAGTGCATGGCTGATAGCTAGAGCAGCAGCGTCAGGGTCGCAGGGTCGGATCGTGTCAAGCCTCTCGCCCGGCCGGCCGCGTGCAGAAGTCGGCCTGTCTGCTGTCTGGAGTGATCTGTCGGCGGTCAGTACGACCGATCAGGTCGGAGTTTTCTGATGGTTGGAGGGTCTATCTGTATGTACTCCTCGAGATCTTTCCAAATCTGCCCTCTACTTAACCGTACTTAATCGGGAAGTTGGTGCTAGCTGACACTAGCGGAGCCGGAGCAGCCCCGTTTCCGCAGTGCGGCGCGGTGCACGGTGCCTCCGGGGGGCCCCGCGCCGGCCCAGAGGTTGGAGCCCGTCCACCCTCCCGACCCATGGGCCATGCGCCATGGCCGCGATGAGCGTCCGAGAAAGAGACAAAAAGAGTGCTCAAAAGACGGGGTGATGATCATTAGATCATCTAAGATGCCACCCCCCCCCCCGCCATCACAGCTCCTCAACCTCCATTGGGAGCGGCGGCTCGTCGCTCGGCGCCGCAGCGGCGGGCGGGCCAAACAGCCCCGCCTCGGAGCCAGGAGGCGGGCTCGCGGCGGGCGGGGCGGCGGGCGGCATCTGGCGGGCGCTCGGCTGGCTGCGGCTCGCCTTTTGAGACCGCGCATCGAGCGCGTGGCGCACGCGTGTGTAGCACGCGGCCGCCTCGACGGCGGTGCGGAACCAGCCGATGTGGCGCTGCACACCAGAGGCCGTGAGCATCGCGACAAAGGGCTTGGCGGTGCCGGCCCGCGCCTTTGGGGCGTAGACTCCCTGGTAGCCCGTCGGGTTGCGCGACGAGAGCAGCAGCCTGCCCACGCCCTCCACCTCCCTCACAAACTCACCCCCGCTCTCGCCGCCGCCGTCGCCCTCGGCGCCACCCTCGCTGCTGCTGCCCCCCCCGCCGCCGCCGCCGTCAGTCGCGCCGTCAGTCGCGCCGTCAGCTCCGCCACCGCCGCTCTCGGCGTCCGCCGAAGCCTCACACGAGAGAATGCGCTGCAGCTCAGCCGCGGGCAACTCAGACAGCAGGTCCTCTTCCCCCTCCCCCTCCTCCCCGCCGCCCTCAACCAGCTCGCCCTCGGCCGTCGAGGTCGGAGCAAACGCAGCCTCGGGCGGCGGCGGCAGAACGTCGATGCTTGCCGCCGCCCCGCCCTCCGCCGCCGCCCCGCCCTCCGCCGCCGCCGCGTCCACCTCCACCTCCACCTCGTCGTCCTCTGCCTCGGACGCCGCCGCTGACGCCGCCGCTGGCGCTGGCGCGGAAGCTAGACCGCCTGGTGCGCTCTCGCCGTTGCCGCCACTGCCGCCAGCGCCGCCGCCGGGAAGGCTAGCCGAGCGCCGGCGAGCGCGGCTCCGCGCGCGCAGCTTCTCAAGCATGTCCGCGTCCTCCTCCTCCTCGCGCTCCGCCGCGCGCTTGCGCTTCGCGGAGGCGGCGGCCGCTCCTCGAGGGGGGGGGGGGGGCGCAGCTTCCGGGCCAGTCTGCGCCGGAGGCTGCGAGGGCGGCTGCGCCGCGCTGAGCCGCCAGCGGTGCCTTGCGAGCTTGAGAGTCTCCCGCTGGCCGTCGGTGTAGAGCAGCTGGTGCTTGTCGGTCGCCTCGCCCGAGTAGGCGAGCACGCGCGCAGAGTACCACGCCACGTCCATCGGCCACCACACGTCGACGCTCTTGCCGACCAGCGCCTCGCCGCTCACGCCCTCGCCGCTCGGCGGGTCGAGCGCCTACGTCATGAGCAAGTTAGAGTCGGGGCGTAAGGACGGTCTCGTGCAGTGTAGTGTGAGCGGATCGCGCGAATACACGGGCCACGCATACAGTGAGCGCCGCTGGATACGGCTGACTACCATCCTCTCGAGGGCTGGGTTGGAATACGCGGAGCTGTGGTCCGGCATCTAGGCTCGCTCGCCCTCGCCAACGCCTCCGCGAAGCCCGCACCGCTCAAGCGCAGTGACACCGACTCCCACGGCCCGTTCGGCGCGCCCAACGGCGCCGCGGCTTGCGCCCGCTCCCACGGCGCGCGCTTCGGACCCGCCTTCCTCGGCCGCCTCACCCAAGAGTTGTCCGCTTCCAGCTCCGCGCCGCCGGGGGCGGGCGCGACGCCGCCGCCGCCGCCGCCGGCCGGGAGAGGCCCCGCGACCGACGGACCCGCCTCGGTGTCGCGGGGCGGAGCTGGCGCGTGGGCAAACGCTGGACTCACGCCCGCGCCGCCTTCGCATGACGGCGGCGCGAAGGCGGGAGGATTGCCCGTTGCGCCCGCTGCGTCGGCGCCGGTGTCGTCGCACATCGCCTCCTGCGCCGCCGCCTCCTGCGCCGCCGCCTCCTGCGCCGCCGCCTCCTGCGCCGCCGCCTCCTGCGCCGCCTGTGCTGCCTTCTGCGGCAGAGGCGGAGGCGCCGCCTCTGCCGGCGGCGCGAGCTGCTGCGCGGGGCCCGCCCCCTCAGCTTGGCAAGAGGCCGAGACCTCGGCAGGCGCGACAAACGGGGGTGCGACGGGCGGGGGCGCGGCGGGCGGGGGCGCGAGAGGCGGGGGTGCCTCCCCAACCTCCGCAACCTCCCCGTCCTGCCCGCCCTCCCCAACCTCCTCGCCCTCGCCCTCCCCTGCCCCCTCCCCCTCGTCGGCCGAGTCCGACTCGCAGCTCACCTCCTCCCGCTCCAATCCGCCGAGCCGCTCGTCGGCGACCGCGTCGTCGACCGCGCGCAACTTGGCGCCGTAGTGCGAGGCCAGAGCTGCGTCGAGCGGCCGCACCACATCCCTCTGGTACCCCTCGTCCGCCAGCACGGCAGAGTAAACACCTACCCGCAGCGAGAGGGGTGGACGGCGGCAGGAGGGCGGGGACCGGCGCGCTGGAGATGGGCGGCGCCGAGCAGCGCGCGCAAGTGCTGCAGCATGTCTGCCTCGGGCGGAAGCGGTGCCTCCGCGCCGTACCGCCGCGCCAGGATGGAGCCTATAGGAAGGCTCCATGAAGGCTCCGAGAAGGTTCCAGGAACGCGTCCAGCCTTGCCAACGGGAGCCCTGCGCGTAGTTTCGCCCGAGGGCGCCCTTGTCGCACGGGGTCGAGATGAGCCGAGATGCGCCGAGATGCGCCGAGATGCGCCGAGATTGCGCCGAAGCCACCTTGTCGCACAAATCGATGGGCTCGTCGAGCTCAAAGCCGGCGCCGGGCGGCAGCAGCGCGCGGCACCGCTCGCGCACGTCCGCACCGATGCGCTGCAAGTGCTCGGCCGCCACCTTCGAGGACATGTCCGCGACATGTCCGGGACTTGTCCAAGAGTCCGGGTGGGACTCCCAGACGTGGGCGGCGGCTTCCCTGGCGGGCGCTGCGCTCCCCCTCCCTCCCCCCTCCCCCCCCTCTCTCTTCCGGCCTCGCCTTGCCCCCGAAAGCGGTGCGCAGCCGGGTGGTCCCCTGGCCGAGCGAGAGGTAGACGGCAGACATGTCGGCCGCGAAGAGGTACTGCAAGTACAGGCCGTGCTGCGTCGACTCGCCCGGGTCGCTCACCACCAGCCAAGGCACCCTCGCCCAGCCGCCGCAGCCGCACGACGAGCGCACGACGAAGCGGTCGCCAACCTCTGCCTGCAGGTGGACCTCGGCCGCGCGCAGCATCAGCGCCCACCGGTGGCGGCTCGAGAACCTAGCGAGGCATCCCCAAGTGCGGGCTGGGGGGGTTCCTCGTGTGCTCCGCATCTGGGCTCGAGAACCACACACACACACCTCTCGTCCTTGGAGGCGAAGTCGTACTCCCCGAAGAGCCGCCACGCCACCGTACCAACGGGCAGAGGCCCCTCCGGCAGCGCGTCCGCCGCCGCCGGCCGCGAGAGCCGAAGCCGCACCCGCGCACCCCCGCCGCCGCCGCCGCACAGCGAGAGGGAGGCATACACGAGCGGTGCCCTCTCCCTCCGGCGCCGCCGCGCCTCCTCCAGCCGGCGCGCCTCGTCGGCGTCGCGCGCCTACGGGCGTGTCGTGGACGTGTCGTGGACGTGTCGTGGACGTGTCACCTCGCCGCCGCCTCGCCGCCGGCGCGCGCCTCGCGCTCCGCCGTGCGCTCCGCAGCCCGCCGCGCCTTGTCGGCCCTCGCCTGCAGCCGCACCGTCTCCGCCGCGACGAGGCGCGCCTGAGGTCAGGTGAGGCAAGGGAAACCTCTCCACTCACACGAGGTGGTGGGGCAGGGGCCAGGCTAGTCCCTCGCGACTCCCCGTCCAGAGCCGCACGGCATTCAGAGTGCGAGATTCAGAGTGCGAGGCCCAGTGCGGAAGGGAGAGCGGCGCCTCTCGCGCGGCGCCCGCCTCCACCACGCGGAGCAGGTCGAGCAGGCAGCGCGTCACCTCCCTCGCGTCGCGCTCCTCCGCCTTCGCCTCCTCCCTCAGCCGCCTCTCCGCCTCCTTGAGCCTCCGCGCCTGGCGCCGGAGGGGGCAGGGAGGGGGGGGGGGCGGCTCCGAGACGGGTCTGAGGGCCGCAAGCGTGCGGCCGAATGCGGGGCACGTTGGGACGGGCTGGGGAGGAGGGGCCTCTCGTGCGGGCTTGGCGGGGGGGGGGGGGGCAGAGGTGGGCGGCAGCGGAGACGCGAGCGCTGCGGCGTGTGCTTGAGTTGGGAGGGAGGGGTGCGAGTTGGAGGCAGGGTGTGAGTTTGGAGGGGGAGGGGGGGGTCAGCTGAGAGGGTCGAGTGCGCGGGGCGCCCGACGCACCTCCTCCTTGAGCTGCCGCTTCGCCTCGTCCCGCGCGAGCCGCTCTGCCGCCTTCGCCTAGCTCCCAGAGCCCACACTCCCGTCACTGGGCGGCGCTGCTCCTCCGCTCGCTCCCTCGCCCTCCAGTGCTGCCTGCTCGCGCAGCAGCCGCTCCGCCTCCTTGGCCTGCTGCCGCTGCTGCTGCACCGCCAACTTGGTCGCGCGCGCCGCCATCTCCCTCGCCTCCCTCTCCCTCGCGCGCAGCTGCGCCGCCTCCTGCTTGCTCAGCGGCGGCGGCGGCGGCAGCGTCGGCGGCGCGGCGGCGGTGGCGGCGCCTCCCCACCCGCCGCCGACGAAGCCGTTGACGAGCAGGGGCGGGAGGGCGGGCGGCGGCGGCAGGGAGGCGCCGCCCGCGCCCATCACGTCCCTCAGCTGCTGCCCGCCCCCGCACGGCGCGCCGCCCATCAGGTCTCGAAGCTGCTGGCTGCCCACCGGGGCGGCGCAGGAGGCGGCGCTGGGTCCCGGGAGCGAGGCGAGTGCGGGGGTGGCGAAGCCGGCGCCGTGCAGCTGAGAGATGCACGCCCTCCCGGCGGCCAGCTGCTGCGCGACCTGCATCTGCAGATGCACCGCCCCGGCGGCGAGCGGCGGAGCAGCGGCGGGCAGCGGAGGCAGCTGGCCGCCGAAGGTGAGGTCGCCCAGCGGCGACGGCGCGGCGGCGGGCAGCGGCGGCAGCTGGCCGCCAAACGTGAGGTCGCTGGCGCTGCGGTGCGACGCGTGTAGGGCCAGCTGCGACGCGTGCCTCTCGCGGTCCGCCGCCGCCTTGCCCTCGTACACGCTCCTCTCGGCGGCGGGCAGCTGCTCCCACGAAGCCTTGAGCAGAGCCTGCAGCTCCTCCTCGGCCGCCTGCGGGCGTTCGCGCTTGAGCACGCGGCGCGCCTTGGAGGTGTAGTAGTTCCACGCCGTCTGCGCGCGCCGAGGCGCCTTGCGCGGGTCGTACTCCGTGAGGTCACCGCTGGGCGCGACCAGCAGGGACACGTTGGACGGCCGCACGTTGACGAGCTCTCCCGAGCTCACGACGCGAATGACGTAGCGGCCGCGTGCAGTGTCGTAGGAGAGGACAAAGCCCGTGGCGCCGTTCAGGTCGGCCCGAGCGACGAGGCCATTCAGAAGAACAGCGCGGCCGACCAGGCCGCCGGTGGGTGCGGGCGCGGCGGGCGCGGGCGCGGGAGGCTGAGGCTGCGGCGGCAGGCTTGGCGGGTCGTCGAGGTCGATGTCCTCGACGACGGAGACCACCGCCCCGTCGTCGACGTCGATGTCCTCGATGGCCAGCTCTGGCTGATGGCTCATGAGTCGGCAACTGCCGGTCACCAGCCAGCGGGGGCGCTGCCAGAGAAGAAGAAAAACGTCTAGACGCGCGTGGGCGCCTTTGCCACCTTTTACAACTCAAGTCCTGTGGAGAGCATTTTCCCAAAAGGGTCATGGGTCCCGAGTTCGCCGTCGAAGGTACCTATTCGACCGCTCGGTCCCTTTTTGACCGCTCCGAATCCCTTGGTTAGCTTTGGTTGGCCCTCGCAGCTGTGATACAAAAGTGGGTGGGGACGCGCCTGGCGGCGCGCCCCCAAAAATTTGAGGCCAGCGGTGGTTGAGGCCGATTGCCTCAACTGTCAACCAGCCGTTCTCTTCCTTCGACAAACCCAAGTAGACATACCAAAGGGGTCCGGGAAAAGAACAAAAGATGTACACAGCCTGGTCAGCCTCCCTTGTTTATACGCGTCTACTCATAGCGGTGGTTGAGGCCGATTGCCTCAACTGTCAACCACGTGGTTGACAGAGGCCTCAACCCTCAACCAAGTGGTTGACAGACCCCTTCAACCCCTCAACCACGCGGAATGGCTGTTCACACCCCCCGCGCAAAGGTCTGAACACACCCAACATTCTCTGTGACGATTCATGTCGTCTTCTTTAGACGCCTGGATGCTGCATTTGACGCGCCGTTTTTACGAGCACTTGCTTCAGCTATACACGTGCGTGAATGGGAGTGTGATGCAAAGCCCGGAGGAGCGCTGACAGCCATCGAAGGCCCCCACGGGGCGGTCCCGGCCGAGTCATGGCCGTCCGCGGACGCGGCCCTCCGTCTCCGGAGACATTACCGAACTCAAAACTGCTTTTACCAAAAGGCAGATACGAGCTCAGCTCAGTGAGATCTAGCAGCACATACCCTCAGTATCCAGAATAGTAAAGTCTGAAAAAGTCGGTCCGACCGCGCAGAGCGGTCTGGCTGTCTGCAGAGCTTCCGTCCGAGCCCTGAGAAATGTCGGAGGCATGTCGGCCCGCCATGAGCCATGTTCGCAATTTTGATGGCGTTGCCCTTATTGCACGTGAAACAGACCGCGCCGGCCACGCACCCTTGTTCCCAGAGGCCAACTCGAACAGGTTTGAGCAATGGCCGCCTTCCATGCTCGATATGCAGCAGGAGCTTAGTTGACCCTCCTCGAAGGCCGCCCTGCTGCCTGCTCTCGGCATTGCGTTCGTTGCTGACTGATAGCACTGTCTGATCTAACCAGAAAGAGCCGTCGAAGAGCCGTCGAGCTACAAGCTGACCGGTGCGGCCTCCGAGTCGGCGTCTAGCGCGCGCGATCAGGTTTTTGCTCGCCTTCCCTGGGATCCCGTGTTGCGTGACTCTGTGCGATTTCGGGCCCGGTGTTGTGCGTTTATGTGAATAGCAGGCGATTTCGGGCCCGGGGTTGTGCGTTTACGTGAATACACCCCGGTGCGAGTTAATGCGCATTTATTCTCTGCGCTATAGCCCTTGAGAAAAAGCTCGCATTATGCAAACCTGTGCCTGTGTCCTAGGAAGTAGACCGAGAGGGGTACTCCCATAGGCAAGAGGAGGTCTGGAGAGGCCCACAGCGGTCAGGAGAGGCCCCAAGAGGGTGCTAGATGAGAGTCAGCAGAGCGCGCCGTCTCGGCGGCTATGGGCAAGTGGGCTGAGAGACAAGAGGGATTTTTCTCTCGAGCGGAAGATGAAGCCCCGACTTCTAATAAATTGTGCCAGGCGTATCCGGGGGCGGACAGCACGGAACCGATTTTTATTTGGCGCAGACCCCTCCTTCCTGAGTCACCAGAAAATCCCAACGATCCTTGAGCGGAGGCCGCCTTGGCCACTTTTCCGGCCTCTCCGGAGAATATGGGATAATTAACCCCTAAACGGCTACCGAAACGGGGTGCCCGGAAGGGCGATATCACGGCGGCCTAACTGTGCCTCCGTGCGCTCGCCACATACCCCCTGCTGCCCGAGGGTCGTGTTAGCACTTTATTGGGCACATACAGAGGCGGTGGGAAGCCACCACGTTCCCTTTAAATTTTCCGCCACAGAGCTCCGGAGCGCGCTCTGCAGACTGCACGAGCTCCTGGAGGACGCGGTTTCGTCTTTCGATCCCAGACGGTCGTCGCACGTCGGCGCCCCAGTGAGGTCCGCCGTCATAGGTGTAGCACGCTACTAGACACACTGCCTCCAAGTTGAGCGGTGGAAAATTGTGACGAAGCCACGCACCGAAGCGCCGGCGTCCCTGTGGCAATCTGCCACCGACAGCAACACACGCCTTTGATCACCGGCTGCTTGCGCTCCGCATACTCTCCAGAAGCTGTTGGTTGTGTGGCTGGTGCTACTTCTATCAGCCTTCCTCATGCACAATGTTGCCGTTGAGCTACGAGGCTGCAACCCGTCGTCATTTGAGTTTGCTGCCAGCCACACACAGCGCGTCCCTGCTGCACGAATGGTTGGACAGGTGTGAACAACACCTCGTGGGGGCGGCACCGCAGGCGTCCATTGAGGGGTCCAGGTGATAGCCCTGGGCGGGCAATCCATACGCCTAGTTGGACTTCAGATCGCCCGATCGCGTCCCGGTGAACTGACGTCGGATTTGTGACGCCGCCGCACCGCGCCGCGGCCAGGGGCCCTCCGGAGGCTGAGGATGGCCGTGGCGGACCGAGACGAGCTCTGGGAGGTAAAGTGTCAGCGTATATATTGTAGAGGCTGACCATGTGCACAATATCTCTCAGTCTAGCTAAGCCAGGGGAGGCTATTCTGGGCGTCCACACGGCTTGCACAGGTGACCCTCGCGACAAAGCGAGCGCGTCCGGCAGAGCGACTGAAGAATCGAAGACAGAGTCACAAATCCCGCTTGTTGTGCATGTTTTGAGGTCGGACAGTGCTGCTGTCTTCTCCACGCAGCAGCCGACGCCACCAGGCCTCGGTAGCTGAGCAGCAGGAGCCTCCTCGCTGCTGGCAGAGTTGCGCCTCTGTTTGCCGCCGCTAAGAGATCGTTGTTGCGGGAATCCAGGGAATCTAAAGGAATCTAGAATCTGTGGGTCCGAGATTCGATCTGGGACCTGAGCCGCTCGGGACCAGCTGCACATGACCCGGGGCCACTACCATGTCGCAGAGACGACTGCTGGAACGGCCGTCGCTCCGACCAGCCGTCCTGCAAAGGAATAAAATAACAATGAGTTCCTTTACATATGTAAAGGAACGCCGTTTAGGGGTTAATGGCTACCATAGCCTAGCATGGCACCCGCGGGCAAAGCTGCCCCCAGGTCCCTAAAGCCCATGGGCATTCCCAAAGGATATGTCAGCGTGAGGTGAGGGCGCAACGGTGGGGGCTCTCACCAGCCCCTCAAAGTTGGGCCTCTCGGGCGGCGGTCAGAGGGGCGGGCAAGGGCACGTGGGAGAAGGGGCAGTGCGGCCCACAAGGTGTGAGCTACCCCTCTCCTAGGTGTGACTCTACAGCCCCTGAGGCCCTCTGGGCTGGGCACCATCAGCTTGGGCAGAGGTTCTCAGGGTGGGCAGAGAGGGAGCTCCCCTTTTCAGGCCCTTAGAGCTCCCTGACATTCACCTTTGGTGTGAAAAGCTGGGATCTACCGCGGTCTTGCTCGATCTACCCACCTCGTCAATCGCGCGGGACCGCGCTCGATCCCCGCGGATCGCGATAGAACGGGGAGCTGCAGTCGTTCGCGATCTACTGCAGTCTACTGCAGTCTATTCCAATCTATGGTGTTGCCGCCGCAGGCGTAAACCGCGCAAAATTGGGGTAGATGGGAGTATATCTGGCAATCAGAAGAAATAGAGGTATTCAGCAGTCTACAGGGGTATTCCGCAATCCACAGCAGTCTACAGCAGTCTACAGCAGTCTACTGCAGTCTACTGCAGTCTACTGCAGTCTACCGCAGTCTACTGCAGTCTACTGCAGTCTATCCGCCGATTTCTCGTTACTGATGGCCGTGTGTGTGGCAGAGATGTGCGTAGCTCAGAGGGTGTCTGGGGGCGACGAGAACCATCCAAAGTCCACAGCAGGCTGCACCGGCTGCACGAATTCGTTCAGAGGCTGAACCACTGCTCGCCGGCGGTCGCAGGCTCCGCACGTTCAGCTATGCAAAACGGCGGCGGCGGGCTGGCTGGGGCACCTAGCGGGTTAGCAGAAAGCCCTGGTATACGGTTGACAAGAGATCTACGTCGAGTATTCCCGACGATGCGCCCCCGCTCCGCCTGAGAGTAGGTCTCAGCGGAAAATGCGTCGGCTACGGGGATGCAGCCCGCGATGTCCATGCAGCCTGGCAGACGCGCGCGGCAATGTCATCCGGCACGGCATCCGTTAGTAGCACGCGCCTCTGCCGTATTTTGAAGGCGGCGGCTTGCGTGAACTCATGCTGCATGCCCGCGTCCTTGAGCTCTCCGGCGAGGGCATCCTCAAACTCGGGCACAACGCATACCCTCCCACGGCCGCCCACGCGGCAGAGGACCGTGCACTTAGTAAATCTGGTCTCTCCAGGAAAGAAGACGTTTGTCTGCCCGCGGTGCCACTCTGTCACCACACCTCGACGGGCGAACGCTCGCTCGAGCTCGGCGACGCTCATACACAGATTTGACGGCGGGCAGAAAAGAAGGGAAAAAATCTCGCGGGCAAAAACTCTTTCAACGCGCGTCCCGTTCGTTCGCTCGGCTGGACTGACGTATGGGCTTCAAGAGCAACATCTCGAAGAAGCGCGCCGCCGCCGGCGCCGCCCGCCGAGACCGCCAGCCGGGCTGGTCAGCGACGGAGCCGAGCGTCACCCCTCCTCTCCCGACGTTGCAGGGCAGCGACGCAAAGCTCTCAGAGCCATCCCTCCTTGCATCACCAGTCTGCCGCACCACGGCCGGCGCCAAAGTAATGATGGGGTTGGTGATCAATGTGCCGTTTTCGGTGTGGGGCGGCGAGTGGGCCGCGTCCACGGAGCACCTCCCTGGAATGATCGTCAACTACAGGCGCGGCATCTTCACCCTCAAATTTGCCACGTGTCGGCATGGCTCGGAGGCTCTCTACTTGAAGTGGAGACACGTGCTCGGCGAGGAGAGCTATTGTGGGGCTCTTCTGACGCTGCGGCAGTTCCAGCGCTTTCGCTCGTATGGGCCGTGGTTCCACTGTGAGCTCAGGGCTCTTGCCGCAGGCGCTTTCGCTCGTGCGCCTGTGGCGGCGGCTGCGGTGGAGTGGGCGGTGGGTTGTGGGTGGTGAGAGGGGGGGGGGGGGGGCTGCAAGCAGATGGTAATTCTTTCTCGTTCTCAACGGAGTCGCTTAGGCGGCTCCGGTGGTGTGCCGGTGATAGTACTAGCACGCGCCAGTTCGCACCTGTGTCGAGCCTGTCTGCTGTGAAGAGAGTTGTTTTGTTTAAATTCTTTCTCGAAAAAGTTGTTTTGAAAATCTTTTGCTAGGAATACCCGGCCCGCGCGAGGGCAAAGACACGCCCGCTCTCTTCCTGCTTTGCGCACGTGGACATACACGAACAGTGATCAACCGCAAGACCGTCTCGGCCGCCACGGCCCAGATCGCGCTGGCTGACCGGGAGATCAGGCGCTCGATTCGAGATCCCGGCTCTCGAATCGTCGTCCGCCGCCGGAGCTGCTCGCTGCAGGAACTCTTGCATGCACGCATTTCCTTGCGCGCAGCGTGATGGATGGATTTATGGTGATGCATGGTAGGCGCTACACGGTGCTGCGTCCGTCGGACTCACCTCTCGTGCCGTCACTGATGCAGCAGCAAGCAGAGCGGCCAGCGCACGAGCGCTGCATGTGCACCTCCCAGCGTACGTGATCCTCATGGCGCCGCCACCCTCCTGGGACAGATCGTGCGACCCTCCGCCTCCTGCCGGCGCCCACTCCTGTCACATGGTGAGAGGAGATATTGACAGGCACCTCGTCCATTTGCACGTCAGAGCGCGCATGGGAGAGGGAGCGGGGAGAGGCGGGATGGGAGCTGCAGCCTCTGTGTGGCCTCCGACTTGTCCGGCGGCAGCAGTGCTGCCGGGGGCGCCCGGGCGGTTCCCCCAGCGGCGCGCGAATGCCGTGGGGCTCGCGCGAGCTCTCTGACGCACGAGCGGTTCTCCAGTCTACTGCAGTCTACTGCAGTCTACTGCAGTCTACTGCAGTCTACCGCAGTCTACAGCAGCCTCCAGCAATATTCCCGAGTTTTCGCCAATCTATCCCGATTTTGCGCAGTCAACTCCAGTATGGCCAAGAGGCTGTGAGGACTATATTGGAGTAGATTGCGGTAGACCGGCCATGTGAAGAGCCTGTCCAGTCTTCAGCAGTCTTCAGCAGTCTACCACAGTCTACCGCAGTCTACCACCTTGCAATACCGCGCAATATCGCTATAGATCTGAGTAGGTCGCGATAGATCTGGCCCCTGCGGTCTACCCCAGTCTTCCCCGATCTATTCACACCGTATGGGTAAATGTCAGGGAGCTCTTACAACCGCGCATTCACTCGCACCCCAGTGTAGCAGGCGTGGACTGTACTCGCCACAGCACGGCGCGGCACACCCGGGGCAGCGCAAATCCCCTCTCCTTCTCGGCGAGGGCGCTGTCCAGAATGGCCTCCTTTGACCTCACCGTCCACCTACGCAGCGCAACGCCGCCGCACGAGCTGGACTCCCTCTTCTGGAGCGTTTCGACGCCTGGCTCGCCACGCTACCTCGACTTCTACAAGTCGGCCGAGGCGCTTGCGCACCTCTTTGGCGCAGCTCCCTCCAGTGTTGACGCGGCGACCCAGTGGCTGTCGAGCCTCAACGGCACCCAAATCCGCCTCAGCCCGATGCGCGACCGGCTCACCGCCAAATTCTTCTCCGCGCCTGCCGGCTGCTTCTCTTCGCGTGGCCTGCCACTCCGTCCGCCTGCGGGAGTGCACCTTGTGACTCGCAGCGACGCCGGCGCTGAAACTTCGGGCGGCGATCCGTCGCCTCGCGCCCGGCGTCGGTCATCAGGGTACGGTGTCGGAGAGCAAAAGGCGGCGTACCAGATCCCCGCCAGCCTCGCGGTGCCTTTGACAGCATCCTCGGGGTAACTCCTCCCTGCTGAGGCAGCCTTCATCGACTTGTTTCGCCGTGAACAGGCGACCAACCCAGCCACGCTGCAGATGGTGTGGGGGCCCGGCACCTTTGGCTACTCGCCCCTCGGCCTGCAGGCCTTCCGCGCGACCCAGTGCCCAGGCATCAACCCGTCAAAGGTGCGCTTCGACACGGATCACCACGGCCGCTTCGGCGGCGACAACTTCATGGAGGGCAACCTCGACACGCACATGATCAGCGCGTTTGGGATGAACGTCTCCACGCTGGTGAGCAACACCAACGCCTCCCTCACGACCGAGGAGGGCGACGGGTTCGGACTCGCCCTCCTCGACTTTGTGACGGGCCTCGCCAATCGTGCCGTCGTGCCGCACGTGCTCTCTCTCTCGCTGGGCAGCCTCTCGGCCTACTCCTGCGACCTGCTCTGCGCCGAGGCGGCCAAGACACGAAAGGTGTCGCGGGGGGAGTGCGAGGCGTTCCTGCAGTCGCAGAGGCAGGTTTGCATGTTCAAGTCGGAGGCGCAGGTGGCACGCATCAATCACGGCCTGATGGCTCTCGGACTGCGCGGTGTCTCCGTCCTCGGCTCGAGCGGCGACGGCGGCTCGCACTGGTCGTTTGGCCCGTTCCGCGGCGCCGGACGTGTGCCGTCGGTGCTCAACGAGGTCGGCTGCGCCTTCAGCTTCCCCATCTTCCCCTCCCCTTCGCCGTACATGGCGAGCGTGGGGGGCACCGCGTGGGAGGCGGGCGATCCTCGCCGCCCGGTGGCGTGGGAGGGGAGCGGCGGAGGGTTCAGCTGGCAGTTTGGGCGGCCCGAGCACCAGGAGGCGGCCGTGGCCGCCTATCTGTCACGCACGGCGGGTGCGGCGCCTGTCACCTGTGGCCGCAGAGGGCATGCCGGGTGCAGCACGCCCGTCAGTGCCGCGTGTCTCTGCTTGCGTAGGCTTGCCACCGGCCGCGTCGTTCAATGCGAGCAACCGCAGCCAGCCCCTAGATGCGCCATCTAGATATCAGTCAGCCAGTCCCGCAGCTCTTCGAAGCACCCACCGCTTCCCATCGCACGCGCCGCACGCTTCCTCCCAGGCGCCTACCCAGACATGTCCGCCGTCGCCGTCGAGGGGACAAGCGAGTCGGCCCCCACCGTTGCGGGCATCTTCTCGCTGCTCATCGATGCGCGCCTCAACGCCGGCTTGCCGCCGCTCGGGCCGCTCGGGCCGCGCATCTACGAGGTGGCGCGGGCCTTTCCCGGCGAGGCGTTCGACGACGTCGCGACGGGCAACACAAAGACGTCCTGCGCGACGGGCTTCCCCGCAACCAAGGGGTGGGACCCGGCGACCGGCTGGGGGCGGCCCCGCTGGCCGGGGCTGCTCGAGCACTTTGGCTCCGACGAGTCGATCCGGGGGCGAGCGGCGGTACGGTCGAGGTGATGTGTCGAGGGCGCCCCGAAAATCTTGCTTCTTGGGCGGGTTGGCATTAATTATACATGATACGGGACACATATACATATAGGTTAATCGCGCACATTAACACTGCACAGGAAACCTGGGGAGCCTCGCACCGATAGCGCATGGCCAATGAGATGACGGCAGTTGCCGATTCGCTCTGCGCCCTCCTCGGCTCGGCGGGCACCTCCGGGCCTGCTGCGGCTCGCGTCGGGGGGTGGCCGACCAGCCCGGACGCGGACCCAAACTACGAGTAGCTACGACGACGAGGACGACCCGCGCGTATTCCATCTGAGATGCCGTGGGTCTGCCATCTTGTTGTGGCGGCGAAATCACCTCGCTGTCATGTCGCGTAGGCTTCCCGGTCCTCATCCTCTTCGACTTGCTCTCCGGTGGACTGGGCGGATTCGGCCTCTCCCGAGTTCCCTCAGGCGGCGTGTTGGGCCCAGAAGGCCCGGCCTCGGAAGACTGATGCTGCCTCACTTGGGGGCTGAAATTGGGTCTGCGGGGGGGCGTGCCCAGGGCGTGATGCGTTTCCCACTCTGCATTCAGCATGTTGACCACCTCGACGTGTGATTCGAGCGTCGCGTGAATTGGGGATTGTGCAGCCAGTCGCATTGCAGTGTCGCCGTGGAAGTTCTGGAGGGAATACTTAGCGCCGTGCTTTAGCAGTTTCCTCACCATGTTTACGTCGGCGCCCTTGGCAGCGTGCATAAGCGGCGTGTTGCCCTTCTCATCCTGCATGTTCGGGTCAGCGCGGCCCTGCAACAACAGGCTCGTGACGATGTCCTCATATTTCGTGCTATCGTTTCCCCATCCACGTTCCTCTTGTCCCTTTACGACGGCGTACAGCAGAGCGCCCCGGCCCTTGCTGTCCTGTTGGTTGACGTCGGCGCCCTTATCCAGCAGCGCCTTGATGACATCGTTGTGGCCGTTGTCGGCTGCGATCATCATGAGCGTCGATCTTGAATCAAGACTATATCCGAAGGTCGTATTGATGTAACCTCCGTTGCGGAGCCAGTACCTGACACCCTTTCTTTTCTCTGCCGTGTACCGCATCGAGTTTCACTGCCTGACGCTGCCCTGCGCCCTGCATTGCGCACGGGACTCGCTCGGAAAGCAGGTCGCACTTTTCCATCCGCCCGCCGAGATCAGGGTCTTTTTTTCAATCAACCTTCAGCGTACGCTGTAGTGTGTGTGTGTGCGCCTGACGGATATGCAACGGTGGCATAAAGTGAATGATACACCGTCGCAGGGAGTGTTGTTAGAGAAGGGGTAAACGGGGGAATTGATTGATTGGGAGGTGTTGTTCTGATTCTACACAACCTCCACAACCACATCCTGCTCAACCCCTCCATCGAGCTGCAGCGACGACACGACGCACGTGGCGAAGCCTCCCATGGCCAGCACCCCCGCGCTCGACAGCCGCTTTACGACGATGGGCGCGAAGCCCGGCTCCGACAGCCCCGCGCCCACCTCGACGCACGAGGCCTCTCCGCCCGTGAGGCCGGTCAGCGCGGCGGTCGCGGGCGCCTGCCGCTTGTTGACGAGCAGCAGGCTGCGCGCGTGGGGCGGCGCCGTCGCCGTGAAGGCGAGGGCGTAGAGCGCGGAGGGGTCGCTCGTGTTGGAGGGGCTGAGCCGCTTGGCCGCCTTGCTGCCGACGCCCGCCGCCAGCAGCTGCGTCACCCAGTACTTGGCGTTGGGCTCGCCGCTCTGCCAGTCGAGCATGCTCACAGCAGGCTCGTTGTCGGGCCACGTGCCGCCAATCAGCTGGTCCTGACCGACGAAGAGGTAGCCGCGCTCCGCCAGCGTGCCAAACGCGTACGCAAAGAGGCTCGCCGCCGCGTTCCAAGAGACGGTCGTGCGGTTGATGCCGATGCCTTTCGCGTGCTGCAAGTCCGGGTCGCCCTGCGCGAAGCGCGGGTCCATCCAGCCGCTGTAGACGTCAGCCGCCTCGCTGCACACGTCGGCGGGGACGCCGTTGCAGTCGAAGTAGTCCTTCACAAACGGGATGAACTCGTTGAGCCCCAGCTGCGTCTTCGCCGGGTCCACCAGCGCGCCGATGGGATCGATTTTGTTCTTGAGGGCGCCGTCCCACGCGGTGAAGAAGGTCTCGGCGGTGGCGGCGTCGTGCGACGAGGCCCAGTGGTAGGTCACGAGCGGCGGCGGCGCGCCGTCGGCGTGGTTGCTCGCGTTTAGAAAGTAGCCGAGCACGTCGACCGCCGGCACCGCCCATTCGGGGCCGGCGGGAACGATCTGCGGGTTGACCTTGGCGACCGCCGCCCTGACGGCGTCGTAGCACGTCGTGTACGCCGGGCCGCCGTCGGGCTGCAGGTGGTGCTCGTCCTCGTTGAGGATCGACAGCCCGTACCACGCGTACCGCAGGCTCGACGCGTGCCAGTGGCCGCACTCGTCGTGGAAGCCGCCCGCCGTGTACCAGCCGGCCAGCCGCGCAAAGTAGCGCGCCATCTCCGCGCAGCTCGGGTCCTTGAGCGCGCTGCCGGCCGTGTAGACGTCGAACGGGTCGGGCGTGTTCCACGGGTCGGCGGGCAGCTTGGTGTAGTCGTAGCCGTCGACAAAGAGCCACGACGGCATCGTCGAGAGCTGCTGCACGACCGAGCGCTCGCACGCGCCGTCGGCCGCGCCGGGGCCGCACACGGCCGAGTAGAAGTTGCTCATCACCTCGTCGAAGGCCGTCGAGTCCCAGTTGGTCGCCGCGTGGGTGGCGTTGCAGTTGGGCGGCGTCAGCTCGGTCACGACGACGCGCGGGTTGGGGAACCACGGCGCGAAGCGCACGAACTCGGCGCCGAGACCGGAGAGCGCCTCGTCTGTTTTTCGGTATGTGCGGGGCGTGAGGAGCAGATACCTACTTCGCTAATCGAAGGTTTGAGCTGTGCGTCAGCATACAGTAGGCTCCAAAGGGGCCGCCGCTCGACGTGCGGCCCAGGAAGGGCATCACGTCGACCTCAACGGTCGCGGCAGTGTTGGTGGTGCGCGTTGCGGTGGAGAAGTCGAAGGTGACGGCGTAGTTGGGAGGAGGAGGAGGAGGAGGAGCGGCTGTGGGCGAGAGGATGGAGGCCAACATGTCAATGCCGACACAGCTGCGCTGGCGAGAGGCCCGCGACACGCGCGCCGATGCGGTGGGAGGCCATCGGGAGGAACGTGCGTGTCATCAAACTTGCTCCCCGGCCGTCCGGGGTGTCACCCACCGGTCATAGATTTATGCAGCCCACTCTTTCCTTTGCACCTGATGCTACAGAGGGCTGACAGCGCGCTGACATCTCCCCGCGGGAGAGAGCCCATCGCACCACGACTCCCCAACTCAACAACTTTTTTTGCTGGCCGACGCCGCCGCCAGGCACTTTGCTGCTGCACAAAGTCCCACAGCGCTCCTTCTCCCTCCACCCACCACAACCGCACGGCTGGAAACGCCCGCGCGTACGCACACCCTCCGATCATGAGCGTTCGGGACGTGGCCCCAGAGCAGCGCGAGCGCGCTTCAGCGGATATGGCGCAGGGAGAGCATGTGCACACGTTGTTGTGACCCAATGGGGGGGGGGAGTGGGACCGGAGCCCCTCGCGTTTGCGTTCCGCACCGCGGGCTGCCAGCGCACGCGCTCTCCTGGCGAGTCGGTCGCATCCACTACAGCCAGCGCTTGCGGCGCGCGCAGAGACGCTCCCTGCGCGGCCTCCTCCATGAGAGTTCACGGGCCCCGCGCACACGCGCCCTACCGTCCCGCCGCTCGTCACGCACAGGCGCGCCGCAGCCATGTCCACCTGGCGCCACGTCGGCATGACGTACCTCAAGTACGCCGACCTCTGCGCGACTCACGTGACCAACTGCCTCAAGGAGCCGAGGAAGTCGAAGGCTCTCTCGAGCACGGCGATGCATGTGCGGGTCACGGCGTGGGAGGGCGGCAAGAAGGGGAAGCCAGGCGCGCGCCCCCCACACCGGGCGAGGGCGGGAGGGGTGCCTGCGCGCAGGGCCCTTCTGTCCCGCTGTCGCCGAGGCCTGGTTCGCTCGCTCACCCTCGTCGCCGCCCCACCCCCGCCCCGCAGAGATTGTCGAGAAGGTGGCGGCGACCGGCTAGCCGATTTCCTCAACGCAGCGTGTGTCCGCGGCATGCCGGGGCGAGCTGGGTCCGTGTGTTCGAGAGGCGGCGCTGGCCGGGTGTCGGGTGTGGGAGTTCGAGTTTTTCATGTTTGCACACGCTTTTGCGTTTTGGAGCGTCGCCCTCCATACTTCGCGTCACACGTACAACCGACGATACACACACACACACACACTCCTCACACTACAGACTACACACATACGGGTCACATGGAGAGCCTCGCTCCCGTCGAGGGAGTCCCGGCGGCCCCGGCGACGGAGCACAGGCCACAGCCGTAGAGCTCAGAGGAGAGGAGAGAGAGCTCAGAGAGAGCATAAACCAACAGCAACACGAACTCTCGACATTCAGCGCAGCTCTCTCACGCAGGCGAGGCTGCACGCCGTAACTACGGAGCGATCGCCTCCTCGTCGGACTGCGTGTGGATGTGCTCCGGTGGGTCCCCACCCCACGGGCCGGCGGAGCTCACGCTCCAGTCATCGGCCTCGGTCGGCGTCACACCTGAGGAGTCGTGGCCCGCGAGGTGGGAGTCGGTTTGCTGTGGCTGTCGGGAGTGTCGTGGATGTGCGACGAAACGGCAAGTCTCGGAAGTGTCTCGCGTATGCACAACATGCACCTCCTCCACGGCGGCGTGCGATGCGGATGGCGACGTCGCCGACGGCGGCGCGTAGGATCCGCTTCGCCGCCTTCTCGTCCGAGACGGCGACGCCATTGATCACCTCGATCCGGTCGCCCAACCTCAGCCGTGCGGAAGCGAGTCCGTGAGGCTGGATGTTGACGATGACTGGCGGCGCTGAACGTCCCGACAGTGCGACGCCAAAGGCCTAGCGCGAGGGCGGACCTCTATGGCGGCACTTCGCGTGTGTGCGCGAAAATCAGTGCGGGACGGTGAAGCAGCGGCAGTGCTTCGCGCTCGTGGTTCACATACATACCTGCTTTAGCGTGGCTCGGTGAAGATGGACCCAGACGGTTTGGGTGTTGGCGGGAAAGGAGAACGTCCTTTCGAGGCCCGCCACGTTGGCAGCCGTGATCGCCGCCATGGTCGCAGGAATGAACTATCGCAGGAGTGATTCAGCGCCACAGATTCAGCGCCACAGTCGGCGATAGTGCAGCGAAGTTGGGGGGGGTCGGCGCCCCCGGGGGGCCGCGGAGATAAACGCCGGGATGGCATTTTTTCTTGATTTTCACAGAGCGCAAACGCCACCACCTTACATTCGTTTCCTTTTCTCCGGCGTACTCGACGTACTGAAAAACGCGCGTCCCCTATCCCGCCGGGCGTAACGTAACGGCTTCACCATGCGGACCATTCGCGTGCGCTCGCCTCGCCCTGCACCGCTCGCACTGTTGCACGCGCCGGCTGACCCCGCGCCGACCCGTCCAGGTGTCCGTCCGCGGCGCGCGCGGGCTCGCCGAGGACGCCTCGTCGCGCGCCGTCCTCACCCTTCCCGGCTCAGAGCCGGTGGAGAGTGAGCTCGTGTCGGGGTCTGCAGAACCAGCCTTTGGGCTCGAGGCGGAGTGGCGAGCCGGGACGGACGACGCGAGCCTGACGCGACTCGTGACCACCCCCGCGCTCGTCCGCCTCGTCGACGCGACCGGCGCGTCCCTTGGGGAGTGCAGCCTCCCGCTCGAACCAATGCTGGTGTGCAACTCCCTAGTGCAGCTCGCCAGCTCTCCAAACCCTCGCTCGCTCCACACCCTCCGAAAAGGTCAATATCACCTCTCTTTCGCACTCTTCGCGGCGCCGCCGGACCTCCCGGGCTCTCCGCGTGCTCTCTGCGGCTGACCTCGAGCCGACCATCCACCCCTCGATTGGCATAGGCTTGCTCCTCACTGGAGGAGACCTGGCTGCCTCTGGGCGACAGCGAGGACGGCCCCGCGGTGCTGGTCGCGGCGGTAGCGGAGGACCAGCCCCCAGCGCGAGCGCGCGCCCTCCTCACGGAGGACGAGCGCGACGAGTCGACCTGCATCTCTTTTGACCTGCATGCGCTGCACCGGCTGCCAGAGGCGTGGCGCCTCGAGGAAGGGCAGGCGAGTGGTCCGAGATAGGGAAGGGGGTGATAAAGCTGGCCGCTGACCGGCCGCTGCCCGCACACGCGACGGCGCTCTTATCCCCTCCTTTACTCCTCGCCGCCTTCCACTCTCACCGGCCCGCACCTCACTCACCACCACAACCGCAGACCGAGGACGACCACGCCTTCACGTACACTGCGACCGTGCGCTGCGCCGTCGCCGACACCACCTTCCGCTTCGAGGGCGGCCGTCTCGTCGTTCCGCCTGCTTCAAAGGAGGAAGAGGAAGCGCCAGCTTCCGATACCTCCCCAGAATCCCGCGAGAGCGGGCCGCCGTCTCCAGCAAAGGAGGAGGAGGACGCGGCGGCAGGTCGGGTCGAGTGGCTGCAGACTGCGGAGGGAGGCGGCCTCACCAAGACCGAGGCGGAGGAGCGGGTGGCCAGGGAGACGGAAGAGAAGGAAGCGCTCGAGGGGCAGCACATTGCTTGGAGCGGCGCCACCGCCACGCTCTTTCTCGGTGTCGAGGCTTGCCGTCGGCTGCGCAGCGGCGTCGCGGAGCGGGAGAAGGCGATGGCGAAGCGGGTGGAGCTGGAAGGAAAGAGGCAGCTGAGCAGCGAGCAGGAGGCAGAGCTGGCGGAGACGAAGCGACTGCTTGACGAGCTCGAGCCTCCCCTTCGCGTCTCGGTGCTCCGGCTACTCAAGGACCCGGCCAAGGCGTCGGACCCGAATGCCGCCCGCTACGCCGCCATCTGCACGCCGGACCTCGCCAAGCTGGCGGCGGTGGGCTCGACCTCCTGCGAAGGCCGCTTCAGGATCACTCACGACCTGGCCTATGCGCCTGACGAGGGCGACGAGGCCGCCAAGCCTCCCCCGGCCGTCGAGCCGCTCGAGGAGCCCGCCGAGGTGACATCCGAGAAGATTCTGAGTCCCGCGCTCTGTGTGCGCTGACCGAAGCCCGCGAACCTTATCCCCTCCTCGCCTCCTCGCCCCGCCCAGGGAGCTCCTCACCCCTACGAGGTGGCGGGGACGCTGCTCCGCCTCGACCTGCGAACCTCAGCGCCGCTCAACCCGCGGCCACCTCCACCGCCACCGCCGCTGCCCAAGACGAGCGACATGATTCCGAGGCGCACGCTGCCTGCACTGGCGCCCAAGACGAGCGGCGCGGAATTTGAGGCGCAGGTCAAGGGCGTGGTCGAGGAGCTAGCGGCGGAGTGGTCGGTTTTGTTCCCGGAGGTGCCTCCCGACACCGACGACGGCTCAGAGGCGAAGGAGACGCGCAGGCGGGAGCTGCTCCACCAGCTGGACGCGAGCGGCAAGTTCTTCGCCTTCAAGGAGCGGCTCAAGCGGGCGGTGGTCCGCCTAGCGCGCGAGAGCACCGCGCGTCCGACGGGCGAACCGCCCGACGAGGCGCAGCAGCGCGTCTTTTACAACGACTTGTACGTTGCGCTCCTCCGAAGGATGCACGCCGCGCTCGACGCCACGTTCTTCCCACCCGCCGTGCCGCCGTCAGCCCCATCGGCGCCCTCCGCGCTTGACGGAACGCCCCCCGAAGCCGCCCTCGCAACGCTCGCCTCTGAGGCGGAGGCAGAGTTCCGGCTCGAGGCGGCGGCCAATTACCACCATGAACGAGTCGCGACAGCCCCCACTATTGCGGCGGCCTGGCTGGCGTACGGCACCTTCCTGCTGCGCACCGGCCGCGGCGCCAAGGCCGAGGAGTGCTCACGCGAGGCAATCGCCGTCGACCCCGAGTACGCCGAGGCGATGCTCGTGCACGGGGTCACGCTTGCGAGTCGCAGCAACCACGAGCAGGCCGAGCCCTTCCTCCGGGCGGCGCTCGACGCCGCGCCAGAGGACGCGCAGCTCTGGCTGCTGATGGCGGTGGTCTACGAGCGGATGGAGCGGGGGCGCGACGCGCGAGTCGCGCTCAGGCAGGCCTCGACATTGCTGGGCGAGGGTAGCGAGACCGGCCCGCACTACCTCGCCCTCGCCCAGCGTTTGCTCCCGTACGCCGCGTCGCCGCTCATCGACGAGGCGCTCGAGCGCGCGGGCGGCACCGACACCCTCGCGGCAAACCTCGTCCGTGCGGAGATGCTGCTGCAGCGAGGAGAGCTCGCACCCGCCGAGACAGTTTTGCTGGCCGCCTCTGAGGCCGCGCCCCGCCCCCGCGCGGCGCCCGCGCTCACGCTGCTGGGCCACGCGCAGCTGCGTCAGGGCAAGGCGGCAGAGGCGCGCGCCACCTACGAGCGGGCGCTGTCGCTCTGCGGCGCCCCGCTGCCGGCACCACTTCTCCTCCACCTCGGCGCCGTCTGCCAGTCCGAGGGCGACGCTGCGCGTGCACGCCACCTCTTCCTTCACGCCTCGCGCCTCTCGCCAAGCTGCACCTCGTGGCTCGGTGCGGGAGTCGCGTGCCTGGCGCTGGAGCTGTACGACGAGGCTGAGCAGTGCCTCTGCGAGGCCAACATACTGGACAACCGCCGCCCAGACGTGTGGGGGCAGCTCGCCTTGCTCTGCCAGCGGCGCGACCGGACTGTCGAGGCAGAGGAGGCGCTTGAGCAGGCGACAGGCCCACTCTGATCACTCTTATACTCCTCGCGGTGCTCACGCCGCCCCGTTGGTTGTTTTTAGGCCACGCGCCTCAACCTCGCCGACGGCAAGCTCCTCGTCGCCATCGGCGCCGCTTTCTTCGACGGCGGTGTGTGGGCAGCCGCCGAGGGGTGCTTCCGCCGCGCCCTTGCCGTCGATGCCACGCCGCTGACAATGCAACGGCTCGCTGACTCGCTGCTCGAGCAGCAGTCATACAAAGAAGCCCTCGCGGCATACCGACGAGCGATGCAGGCCGTGGCAGAGGACGCAGCTGGCGCTGTTGCCCAGGCGTGCGGCAGACAAATCAAGCGGGTGCTGGCGCACATGGGCCTCCCCGAAGATGACCAGGACGACAGCGAGCAGCTGCCACTAGACGGCACCACGGGCTAGGATCCGGCCCGCGAGTGGCGCTCGAGTAGAGCTCTGATCGTGATGTGGCCCGATCGAGGAATATTCTCAAGCCAAGTGGCCTCTTTACTATATGTGTGAGAGAGGACTTCAGTGTCTATTGTGTCTGGTTCCAGTTTATCACGCAGTTTATTGAACAAAAGAGGCTCTAGTGATACACCCAATAGACGACACAGTGGGATCGTATGATCTCGAGAGAGTCAGACTTCGAATCTGTTCTCGATGAATACGTCCTTGAGAGCGGAGTTCAAATCGCGAGTCCAACGGGGCGGCGGCGTGCACGTCGGGCCGAGGACAGAGACCACCGCTCGCCCGCGCCCCGCTGCTCAGCGGCCCATCAGCATGTGGTGGTGGCGGCCCGGCTCTTCGTAGCGCCCGTACCGCTCCTCCTCGCGCCGCTGCTCCTCGCGCCGCTCGCCGTGCTCGATCGCCGCCAGGCCCAGCACCGGGTGGCCCTGCGAGGCGAGGGCGACGCCCGCCAGCTTGTCGTGGCCGGTCGCCAGGAGCGCGCCGTCGAGCAGGGGGCGGAACCTCTTCTCCTCAGGCGGCGTCGCCGCCGCGGCGCCGGCCATGCCCTCGGATAGGGTGCCGAACGCGTCGCCCGTCGCCGCGCCGGACGCCTGGTACGCCTCGCCCTCCTTCTGGAAGTCGAAGTCCGGGTCGGTGAAGAAGCGGAAGGCAGTGTCGGCGCCCTGGGAGGCGAAGCCGGCGCCGGTGGCGGCGCCCTGCTGCGCGAAGGGCATCCAGCCGCCCTTCTCCGCCGGCGCCGCCGCGGCGGCCGGCGGCGAGACCGCCTCGGCCGCCTCGGCGCCCTCCGCCGCCTGCAGCCAGCGGCCGCCGCCGTGGCGGCCGTGCTCGCCGCGGCCGTACTCGCCGTACTCGTACCGGTCGTCGCGGCGGTACTCGTCCTCGCGGCGCTGCTCCTCGCGGTGCTCGCCCATCTCCATCGCCGCGAGGCCCAGCATCGGGTGGCCCTGCTCCGCCAGCTCCATGCCGAGCAGGTCGTCGTGGCCAGTCATGAGGAGCGCGCCGTCGAGGAGCGCGCCGCCGCCCCGCTTCTCCTCGGGCGGCGTCGCCGCCGCGGCGCCGGCCATGCCCTCGGACAGGGTGCCGAACGCGTCGCCCGTCGCCGCGCCGGACGCCTGGTACGCCTCGCCCTCCTTCTGGAAGTCGAAGTCCGGGTCGGTGAAGAAGCGGAAGGCAGTGTCGGCGCCCTGGGAGGCGAAGCCGGCGCCGGTGGCGGCGCCCTGCTGCGCGAAGGGCATCCAGCCGCCCTTCTCCGCCGGCGCCGCCGCGGCGGCCGGCGGCGGGCTCGCCCCCAGCTTGCGGCGGCCCATCGACCCGCCGGCCACCAGGTTGCCAAAGTCGGAGGACGTGTCCTTGTTCAGGTCGGAGAAGCGGTTGCCGGTGTTGGAGGCGGAGTCGGAGCTCGCCTGGAAGGCGCCGCCCGTGATCCAGTCGAGCCCCGTCTCGACGCCCGCCGCAGTGTACTTTGCCCCCGTGAGGAGGCCCATCCCGGCGAACTGCGTCCACGAGGCGGGGCCGCGCTGCTCGTCGGGCGGCGAGGTGACGGCGCCGCCGAGGAAGCCGGCGTCGGTGGTGAGCGGGTCGCCGCCCGACGCCGTGGGGACGGGCGCCGCGGGGCCGGAGGTGATGGCGAGCGCGAGCATCGGGCTGGGCTTGGCTGGCTGGTAGGGAGAGAGGGCGGCGAGGAGCAGGTCCTTTGCGTGACTTGAGGAGGTGAAGGAGGGACGCGTCCCAGAGGGTCCACGCCCTAGAGCGCGCTCGACTGCTCCTTGGCGGGAGCTCCGGTATGTGGCTTATTCTCCATGATTGTTAACGTGCATCGTTTCGATACCCTACGCGTTTCTCTACGCCTCCCCCCCCCACCGTCCTTCTCTTTGTATTCGCGTCTCTAGCAAGCAGCCAGCACTGCACAAGAAGAGAGAGATCTCTCTCTAGAGAGATAGAGAGAGATCTCTCTCTGCACACGACGCGAGAGAGATTTGCTGTTTGTTGAGATTGGTTGTTTAGAGGAGGGGAATAACTAAATAGTCAAACCCTGAGACGAGATGGGAATTAAGATGAGTCCCCGCCCTGCACGATCTTGGCGAGGGATCTTCAATCCCTCCTCACACCCCGACGACACAGAAGGCAAGAGTGTGAGTGAGTGTGAGTGAGTGTGTGTGTGAGTGACCACACACAGAAGGCAAGAGATAAAAGAAAATTTGTGAGTTCGGCGCCGCTTTTTCTTCTTTTAATCCTTCCTGCTCCTCAAGCAAGGCGCTGGAGGGCGCGACTGCACCATGCGTCAGCGGGACTTTCTACCAGCGGCGGTCATCTGGGCGACAATCATCTGGGTCGCAAACGCGGCGCCTGTGGATCCTGCTGCCACTACTGCCGGTTCCACTGCTGCACCTGAGGAGAAGAGACTCGGCGATGGCAAGATCCTGATGGCCGGCATGCAATACATGATGGGCGATCAGCAAGGTGCGGAGGCCATTGTGCAGGATAAGGCTGGGGAAGTGGCGGATGCCATGACAGGAGCCGACGCTCCCGCGGCACAGCAAGCCGCCGACTGGGGGCAGCACGAGAGCTGGGGCGGAAGCTCGGATTGGGGACAGCCTGAAAGCGGCTGGAGCAGGCCTCAACGGCCTGGGAAGGGGGCTGGCGGCTCGTGGGTGTGGGTGCCGAGCCAACAGGGAGGCAAGGGTGCGGGCTGGGGAGGCAAGGGTGCGGGCTGGGGAGGCAAGGGAGCGGGCTGGGGAGGCAAGGGCGCTGGGTATGGTGCCTACCAGTACGGAGGCTACCGCTACGGCGGCCCGTCTGATCGTCCCGGTGGCAATTTTGCTGGCCAAGACGAAGGCTGGGGCCGTCGCTCGTAGGATGTACACTGGGTGGCGAAGCTTGCCGCGGAGCTTCAATAGAATTCAGTTAGGTGAGAGTAGGAGCAACAACACCAACGTGTGCGCGCGGAACGATATGTCGGTGCTGAGACCTGAGAGTGCCTGGGTGTCTGAGTGCGGGATAGAGAGTGTGTCAGTGTCAGCGCCTGGAGACGGGCGCTGAAATTGGTGTGAGAGATACGTACCTCGACAGTGTGCTCTCTGTACAACATCAACAATATAGTACTTTCTTCGCGCGTGTTTCGGTTACCGCGCTATGTGTTCAACGAAGTCTCGCCGAAGTGTTTTCTCTCTCTCGCACGCTGTGTAACGCTGACCGCTTGCTGCCTGACTGATCGCTCACCGACGGTCACGCCTCACAGAGGCTCACACGCCCCCCCCCGCCCGCGTGGGTTGTGTAGCGCTCGACACGACTGACGTAGAGAGAGAAGAAGACCGCCGCCGTACACACATACGGCTCTAACAGTGGCGGCAGTGCAGAGTGTGGGGCGCTTGGGGCGGTGTCAAGAGATACAACCGGTCGTGTTCATTGCTCAATGGTCAAGAACATGGATTACCGATTACCGTACTGGCACGCTCTTAAGAGCTGCTTCGCGCCCGCCCCAACGGGCAGCCGCAAGTTCATCATGCCAACTACTCTAATCCGCAAGAGAGAGGCGCTAGAGGGAGCTCAAAGTCTGATGACCTCTTTATCCGCAGCTGGTCCCACTCCACTCCATGCTCCTCCCCGCCCCTCAGCCGCTCTTGGCAGCGTGCAGGGCGCACGGGCGTAGCGTCTCAAAGACGTAGTCGCCGAGCCGCTGGAGCGTCTCGCGGTCGGCCGGCTCGCCAGACACGGAAGCGACCCAGGCGAGGAGCTGGTCGGGGAGGTCGAAGAGCGCCGCCGTGTGCTCGCCCATTCGCCGCCGCAACTCGTTCTCATCTTGCCCGCGTGCGGCGGCGCCGTCGAGGGCCGCTCGCAAGTGAGAGCGGCCCTCGAGCTTTTCCGAAATCTCGCGGGCCGCAGTGAGCGCGAGGCACTGCTTCGCCGCGGCCTCGAGCGGACCACGCCCGGGCCCGTGTGCGGCGCGGGCGCAAGTGGCGAGGCGGAGCGCGTGGACGCAAGCAATCAAGGCGCCTAGAGCGGCACCTCCCGTGGGTGAGAGTCGATACGCTGGAAGTGACGAGGGCCACTGGGTTTGAATGCGCCTTCGATCGCCTCGTGCCGCGCCAGCGGGAGCGGCAGCACGGGGAGCAGCGAGCTCAGGCTGCCCTCGAGCACGCCGCGCAACTCTGCCGAGTAGAGCGTGTCAGACATGGAGGCGTTGTTGCCACTGCTCTCCGCCCCGCCTGCACCCCCGTAGTCCATCGCCACGTCCGCCATCGTGGCGTCCCCGTCGTTGGGGCGCGGCGTCAGCGCGTGCGGAACTGGCGCCCCGCCGGCGCTGCGTGCGCCCCGCGCGCGCTCAGACCGGCTGACCGGCGGCATCGCAGCCTGCAGCGCTGCAGGTGAGAGCAGCACGGCCCGCGAGAGAGAGTTGAGGCCGCCCGTGAGGCTGTCCCACAGATTGAGCCGAGGCACCTGCGGCAGTGCAGCACGCCCATCGGGTGACGCCCTCAAGGGCTGTCCCGAGCCCCCCCCCCCCGCCGCGCGCGCGCGCGCCCCCCCGCCCTCCCCTCCGGCGCACCTCCAACCCGCCGATGCGTCGAATCTGCGCGAAGAAGCGCAGTGCTGCACGCTGCTCGAGCACACCCGCGAGAGACGTGTGCTCTCCGGCGATGGCCGCGCCGAGCCGCCCTCCAAAAGCGTAAGCAAACTCCGCCGCTTGAGGGAGCCACGCGCAAGCGACCGCCTGGGGCAGCGCGGCGAGCGCCGCGGAGGCGATCATCAGGGCAGAGCACCAGCAAGCGTGCATCGGTGAGCGCTCCCCCGCGGCATCGTACCCTGGCCGGCAATGCCCCGCGCTCTCGGCGTGTCTCGGTACGAGGACGGCCAGCCTCGACAGCAACCCAGCGCCGAGCAACGCCTCGGCCGCGGTGGGGGCGCTGCAGAGCGGGAGGAGAGCGGCGAGCGCCGCGCTCGTGACGCGTGGCACTGCCAGGCCGGCAGCGGGGCGTAACGCCGAGAGGAGCGCGTGCTCGAGCCCGTGAAGCTCGTCGCCCCTCTCGCCGTGCCCGAGGCCCGTCTGCGGAGGCAGGAGCGGCAACAGCGCCGCGAGGAGCGACAGCTGCAGCTCAGCAGTGGTGGGGGCCGAGTCGCTACTCACCTCGCCCCTTGCCGATTCGGCAACGTCGACGGGCAACGAAGCGACGAGGCCGACGACCAACCGCTGCGCGAGCGCCGCCAGCTCGGGCGGCGCGGCCTCGCCGGCAGAGGAGGTGCCGTCGGGCGGTGGGCGGAGCAGCAGCAGCAAGCACGAGAGTAGCGGCGCGAATGCGATGCCCTGCGTGGCTGGCGCGGCAAGCACCACGCGCACGACATGCGAGGTGAGCGCGCCCCGCTCCGTCAGAGGCAATGCGGCCGCGTCGAGCGCCGCCGCCTCCGCCGCGGTGCTCGCGTCCGCCTCGACAAGGCTGAGAAGCATCGCCCCGCCCTCGCTCCAGCCGCTGCTAGCCTCCGCCGTCGAGGCTGCTGGTGCCCGCCGCTCGAGCTGCGCCGCAAGCGCGAGCGCGAGGGCGCGCATCGCGCCCAACACGCCCGGCTGCAGCGCCGCGTGGACGGGGACCGCCTGGCGTGGCCAGAGGAGCAAGCACAGGGCGGTCGGCGCGCGACGCAAGGGCCGCGCGTCATCGTAGAACCAGCCGTTCGGGCGCAGCAGCGAGTGGGTCTCTCCGCTCGAGACGAGGTACGACCGGCTCGGAGGCTCGTCCACCATGCGCACCATCACCTTTGACGCGGCCGGTGCGGCGGCCGCCGCCGCGGCCGCCGCCGGCTTTGGCCGGTCCGAGCTGACTTCGTGATGCCGCGCGAGTGCGAGCACGGCAAGCACCTCCTGCACCTCCGCCTCGCGACGCAGCAGCGTCTCAGACGGGCCATCGCCGCCGCCGCTGGTGGCCTTGCCGGCCACCGGCGCGCCGAACACAGCCACGGCAGAAGAAACGGCGCCGGCCGGCAATAGCGGATCGCCTCCCTCCTCGCCCTTCTCCTCGATGCGCAGAAGCACCTCGACGACGCGCCGCGCGGCGTCGAGTGGCGCGCTCGTCTCAGAGCTCGCTGCCGTGCCGCCCTCGAGCTTGGCCGCCGCAGCCACCAACCGCGCCGCCAGCTCGCGTGCGCGCACGTCGTCGGATGCGGGGAACTGGAGCAGCTCCGCCACCGCGCCACAAGCGTCGTGGCGGAGCCACAGCCCCGCCGCGGCCGCGCGGTGGCGCTGCGCCTCCCCAACCAGCCGATGGGCAGCTGAGAGGGCTTCGGCCGCCTCCGCAAACTGCTCGCCGACGGCTTGTGCGGCGGCCTATTCCAAACTGGAGATGTGACGAGGCGCTGTGCACACCTCGCCGACCCACGGCTCGCGCGGTCGCCTGGCTCCCCTCGCGTGCGCCCCCTGCGGTCGCCGTGGCGGCGGCGGCGCTCTCCGCTTCCGCACGCGCCCTCAGCAGCGACAGCACCTCGCCGCAACCCGCGCGCGCTCCCCCGCCGCCGTGTCGCTCCTCCGCCGGCTCGCCAGCCTTGAGGGCGAGCAAGATCTTGCGCAGCAAGCCCGCGCTCGCGTGCGACGCATCACGCCGCGAGGCACCCCGCGCCTCGCCCGCTGCACGCACGGCGCGGAGCGCTGCCCCTTGCTGGGCGAGCCCCGCCTTGGCCTCGGTCAGCTGCGTCACGGACGCGTCTAGCAGCCGTCGGCGCGCCGAAGCGTCCAGCCCCGCCGAAGCTGCGGTGGCGCCGCCGGTCACGGGCGCTGGTGGAGGCGACAAGCGCGCGAGGAGCTGTGCGGCACCGCCACCGCCGCTGCCGTGGGGCTGTGCGCCGAGCGGCTTGAGCGCGGGGGACGACGGCGCCATCTGCGGCTGCGGCGCCACGGAAGCGTCGAGCAGACTCCCGACCCGCCGCGCGTGCGCCTCGGCGTCGATCGCCTCGGCGTCGGCTGGCGTCGCGAGGCCGAAGACGGCGCAGCCAGCCGCCTCCAGCTCAGAAGCGAGCGCACGCACGCTGCTCGCCTCGCCGTCCGCCTCGACGAGCAAAGCGACGGCGGCGGCGTCTGCCTCGGCATCGACGCCGGTGGCAGGCGCGCCCGCAGCAGTAGTCGGGAGCGGCAGACCGTGCTGTGATGCGACGCGCCGGCGGAGCAGTAGCTGCCGCTCTTTGAGCGCCGCCTTTGCAGGCGCTAGCGTCGCGGCGAGGGGCGCCTTGGCCGCCTGCACAGCGCCGGGCGTGCGCTCGACCTCTTCCATCTTCCTGCACAAGTGATCGACCAGCTTGGCGACGGCTCCCGCCTGCTTACGCCGCCCGCCGCCGTCGTCGAGCAGCGCACACAGCGCCGCACCGCGGCGCGCGTCCTCCGCGCCGTGCCGTGGCCGCTTCGGCGGCGAGCTCTCGCTAAGAGCCACCCCGCCGGCGCCGGTGGCCGCCGCTGCTTCGTCCATACTGCGAGGTAGCGGCATCAGGTCTGCCGCCTCCCAGAGGAACGCTGCGCCTCCGCGGAGGGCGACCACCTGCTGCTCGAGCGCCATCGCCACGGCGCGCAGCAGCCGCGCGTGGCGGAGGAGGAGCATGGCGCCGTCGCACTCGTCTGCCCAGCCGTGCTGCTGTCGGCCGAGCTGCGCGGTGCGCTTCGTCAGCTGACCGTCGAGCGGCGCCGCGTCGGTGGGCACCGACAGCCAGCTGGGCGCGGTCGCCTTGTCGAGAGTGGCGCTGGCGGAGCGAGGAGGCAAACGCGCGGGCTGCTGCAGCAGCGCGAGCACCAGCCTCCACTGGCGCACGAGCGCGCGGTGCGACTCGCGGCGCAACATCGCGACGTTTGAGGCGGCAGCCGCGGCGAGCAAACGCCGGTGCGCGGCCGCCGCATCGGCGGTCAGTCCAGCCTGCCCACTGTGCACGGCGCGCTGCGAGAGCGGTGGCCTGCCGGCAGACATCCGCTCGAGCTGCAGCAACATCCCCGCGCCGAGGTCCTCGTGGAGCCTCCCCTCCGCCTCCCGCAGCGCGAGCAGCTCCTCCTCGGCGATCCGGCCTATGAAGCGAGACCAGCCCCGCTCAACGGGATGCCGCGGGCCCGACCCTCCTGTTGAGTGTGGCTGCCACCGTCCATTCCGCCGCCGGCGCGTGCGGCGCCGCGTCGTTGCGCGACGCGCTCATGGAGCCGCCACACCCGCACCTGCAACGCCTCGACGTCGGCAAATCGCAGCCGCGGCAGCAGCGGCAGCTCATCGCCCCCTGCCCAAAGCGGCAGCAGCCCGGGCAAGTCGTCGGGCAGGGAGAGGCCCAGCCGGAAGAGCGTGCGGCCGGCGCTGTCCGGAAGGCGCCCGCAGTCGACGAGCAGCGGCTGAGCTCCGCCCTCGAGGCCGCGAGGCACCTCGCAACTCAGGGCGGCGGCGGCGGCCCGCAGCTCCGCCGCGTGCGCGGCGGCCTCTTCGCGGGGCGGCGAGACGACGAGCGCGGCGAGGGACTGCGGAGAGCTCTCGATCCAGCGCGCCAGCGGCTCGAGGCTGCAGCCGACCTGCGTCGGCTGCGGCGGAGGGCTCCGCAGCAGCTCCTGGCTGACAAGCGAGAGGGCGAGCGCCGAGCGTAGCCACAAAAGGCCCGCGGCGGTGGCGTCGGGACTGTCCTCCTCCGTGCCGTCGGGCGGCGGCGCCGCCTTGACGAGGCTCGCCAAGCAGGCCCAGAATGCGTCGCCCGCGCGCAGCTGCCGGCTGTGCGCCGCGAGCACCGCCGGCCTCTCCCACACCACGCGCAGCACGCCGAGCGCCAGCAGCTGCAGCCGGAGCAGCGCGAGGCTTGGAGGCGCCTCGCCGGAGGCACCCGCACCGCCCGGCGCCTCGAGAACCTCCCGCAGGAGAGCAAGCGGGCCCGCCGGCGCTGCGGCGCGTGCGGCCGACGCGTCCTGCGCGGCGGAGCCGTCGGCCGCCTTCTTCTTCCCAGCATTCTTCTTGTCGGAGACAGACTTGATCTCGTCCTTGAGGTCTGCCCACACGACCCATGCGCTCGACATGGTGCTCGGCGCCGGCGCGCACAGCTCGAGCTGCTCGGGGCGGCCGCAGTACCACGCCTCGTGCGAGCTAAAGTTGAGCGTCACACCTCCGCCGCGCGCGTACTCGATGACCGTCGCTGTGTCGCCGGGGCGCGCGAGGCCCCAACCGCCGTCGGGCACCGCCACGTGGCAGCCCACGCGCACCGTCTCGCCCGCGCGGAAGGGGCCGCGGCAGAGCGCCGCAAACAGCTCCGGCTGCGCCTGGGCCGAAGCACCCAGCAGCTCCGCCGCCGCCGCCGCGTGGCCCGCGACCGCTGCGAGGGGCGTGCCGTCGGCGGTGGTGCCGCCTCCCTCGGCAGCCTCCTGCGCGCGGGCAAGCCACGCGCACAGCCGGGTCGAGATCGCCGGGGCGAGGTCGAGCAGCTGCGATGCGGCGCGCGCGGCGAGCCGGTCGCGGGACGCAGCGTGGCACAACAGCGCCAGGCAGCGCGCGGCAAGCACACCCATTGGCAACCCTCCTCGGTCGTCGGCGGCTCCGTCGCCTTGGTCGCCCTCCGTCTCTGCGGCGCCCTCGGGCTCGAGCATGAGGCAGAGCGCGAGCCACCGCAAAAGCCCTTGGGGCGCCTCGCCGCCACGCCCCGCCCCGCCCTTCTGGCTCGGCGTGCCAGCGGCCGGAACGCCGCCGCCAGCCGGCTCCGCCGTCCGGAGCAGTGCGGCGTGGAACGGGCCAGCGGTGCCCGGCACCACGTGCGCTGCGCAAAGGAGCCGCAGCAGCAACCCGAGCACGGCTGGGCAGAGCTCGGCGCGCACCGCCTCCAAGTCCGCCGCCGAAGAGTGCGCTGCAGCAGCTGTGAGGCCGCGCCGCTGGCGCTGGCGCTCCCACTCGCCCGTCGCACTGCGCAGCGTATCGAGGACGAGCTCGAGGACGGAACCGCTCCCGCAGAGGAATCTGGCGAGCTGAGCGTCGTCACCGCCGCCGCCGCCATCGTGCATGGGGTCCAAGTCGGCCGCAGCAAGGTCGGTCGCCGCCGCCGCCGCGCCCGCATGGTCGAGCAGCGAGGTGAGCAGCGAGACGACCCGCAACCGCAGCCGCAGCGAGGGCAACGACGCGTCGGCGCGTGCGGCGGGGAGGATCCGCTCGAGGACAAACCTGAGCGGCGGCACTGCCGCGGCGGGAGGAGGGGCGAGCGCCTCGCTGGCGCCTGGCAGCGAGACCTCCGAGACGAGGCGCACCAGGAGGGAGGAGGACGCGTCGAGGGGCAGGGGCACCCACGGCGAAGCCTCGGCGCGAAGCACGTTGCAGCGGCGCAGCTCGGCGCGCACGGCCGTGGGCGCGAGCGGAGCGACCGAGACGAGGAGGCGCAGCGCGCCGAGCCGCAGCGGCGGGCACTGTGCGCTCGCCTCGAGCCACGCCACGAGCTCGGCGGGCGGAGGAAGGACCTCGCTCCAGAGCTCGCCTACAGCAACCGTAAGGGCGGCGTGAGCCGGGCGGCTCGAGCGACCGGCGGTCAGCCAAACCCTCAGCGCTCGCCGACACTGTGGGCGAGGGCGGCGCCCGCGAGGAGCTCGAGCGCTGCAGCCGCCGCGCGGACCTGCTCGGCGGCCGCGCCGGCGGCCGCGCCGGCGCGGGTGACGGCGCGCACCGCGGCGACGAGGCGGGGCGCCATGTCGAGCGGCGACTCGCGTGGGAACGACCACGTGACAAGCCCGCCGCCGAGCCGTTCGCCCGTGGCGCCGGCGGGCAGGCGGAGCGGCGGCACGCCGAGGCTGGCCTGCGCCGGCTCGGCGCGCAGGAAGCGGCCGTCGGCGGAGGCGCGCGCCTCGAAGAGCGACGGCTGCTGCGGCAGCGAGTGCGTGGCTCTGCCGAGGGCGTGAGCGTAGTCC